AAAATTGTATTTTTGTACAAAAAACACTCTGAAAATGCTTAAAAGTCATATGTTTTAAATTTTATAGTGAAAAATACATTTTGAGGTTAGGAAGTTTTTCAGCCACGGCCTTCTTGATCTACTGATCTGACGCTGACGTCATAGCTTAATGTTGGTTTATTGGCAGTTTTACATCCATTACTTATAAATAGCTTGGCCTAGGCTATCAATTGAAAATGTCATCCGGTGATAGGTCTATAGGGCCTACGTAAGTTAAGTTATTGTATGTAAGACTTAAGTTTACCGAATACTTAACATTACAAGATAGCCTAGTAACTCCAACAAAACATGCCCAAATCACATATAAACACCACATAAACACTAAAAATAAATAAATATTGTCAATTCCCTCCCTTGCCTCATTGACAGCAGAGGAAATAACGTCAGTGAAAGATTAAATAAAACAGGTAGGCCTATCTTATAAAGGTATATTATGGTTAGGCCTAGAATCCTATCGGTGCTTTATTCATAAAGGAATTAAAACTGGTTTTGCAGTTCCTAGTAAGGAGCTAGGCCTAGGCTACAACATCCTTTAATTTGCTAGGATAATATAATTTGCATGTTAGGTGGCCAAGTTGGATTATAGGCCTATTTGAACCTTAGACTTCTAATTTTGAAACTCAAAGTCAAAGAAAGAATGCCTTTTTGATATGACCTAAAAACTATTTAGCCTAAGCTTACCTGTATCTAAAGAGGATGGTTGTGAATTGCTCTCTTCCATTTTGTTTAACCTAAACCATTTTATGAATATAAAAATTATCAATTTACTCCATCAAGAGTAAGGTGTGTAACAAACCCTTATTTTGTGTTGAACATCACTTTCAGCAAAGATGAACTGGCACAAGGCCCATGTCAATTTTACAGCGATATATTATCAACAATGGGTAAAAAGGTCTACGCAAATAAGACTAACCAATCAACTTTTAAAGTATCATTTTAAATAATGGATTACAATTTAATTAAGATAATATTTTCTCGTAATAGGTAAACAGATCATTTGACAACAACCGAACAACCATTACTCCCGTTCTTCTATGCAAATCATTGCTGCTGCTGCAGTTTCCATTTCCAATAATAACAAGTAACAAGTCAACCTTTTCAGCCGTTCATCCATCCTTTTAACATCATTGGTTAGGCCTATATGGGTTGCAGTTAGCTACAGGTAGACAGCAAATATTAAAAACTAAATGTAAATACCCCCGCCGCAGCAAACCTGCCGACTAAGCGAATTTCCATTTGTCTGAATTGATTTTCAGTTAAATATATTTTAATAACATTAGGTTTAACGAGTACCTAGGTTTGCTGCTACAAGGAAACTAATAAAGTGTGTTTTTGAGTAAAATATTGATAGCTTAGTAGAAAATAAATAAATTTGCCAAGTTTGATCAAAATATATTCATAAACAAGCAAACTACAACATTTGACAATATTCTCCATAAGAATAACATGGGAATTTTAAATTTACAATTTTTTTAATTTTCTCCGTTACTAATAATCGAACAAAAATACTTTCATATACTAAATTATTTGTTTTTTTAAGCTCTTTAAAATGGTCTAAAGAGAAATTGGGAAATTTTGTGTTTTGAGGGTCAAAAGTGAGAAAAACCAATTTTTACCCCATAAAACCCCTTGTAAAGCCCCGTTCCCATGGTCCGATCATGCTGGTTCGCGAACTCATTCAAGTGTATCCCGCTTTACACCTTTAAACCAAATTTCATCAAAATCGGACAAAAATTACTCAAGTTATCGCGTTCACGGACGTATATATATATATATATATATATATATATATATATATATATATACATATATAAAAATTTGAACGAATAGTGTTTTTGGCCTCTGGGGACATCAAAATGAAAAATTAAATCGGTCCCGGGTCTAGGTCTTACTGTGCCACCTACGGTAATAGCTACTTCCCTATAGGGAAATTCGCTAAAAAGGTGTTACATCAATGATTAATTAGCCAAGGACTTTATAATCAATGATCTTAAGGTTTATTTTATCTATTAACTAGCTAGCCCGACAGACGTCGTCCTGTCCTAATGTGGTTTTATGTCAAATGCTCGTTCATTTTCAAGATGAGCTCGTTCGCTTGACTTGTTTTCCTCCCTTCCCATAGCATTTTGGGATTGTGTATACCTTAATCTAATCGTCATAAACAGTTTCCACACTCCGGACAGCTCGCCTTGGCTACTTCCTTCACAACTTCCTACGTTGCAGACCTGTTTTCCTCCCTTCCCATAGCATTTTAGGATTGCAGATACCTAAATCTAATTGTCATTAACAGTTTCCACACTCATCCAGACTGCTCACCTTTACAACTTCCTTCACCATTTCCTACGTCACGGATCTCAAGCTAGTGTCGTCTTTTGATTATATTTATGATCCATACCGTTTCTATTCTAATATCTGTGGAACAATGCTATCAGCTATTTCTTTATCTACTGCATTCAAAAGTCAACAGCTGATGTCTTTGTTTATGTGTCAAATACTGCTTCCATAAGGATTACATTGAAACTTTGAGACCTAGTGGGGCGGATTCCTGAGAGAATTCTTTAACGCCTTATAGATGCTTTGGCACTCGCCGATATGGTCTTTATCACCATGCAAAATTTGAAAACGATTGATTCAGCCGTCTAGGAGGAGTTTGCGTATTACGAAATGCATAAGAGTCGACGTATAAGAGCTTCGCTCGCTCCGCTCAATTAATTAGGTGGCCGTAATGTAAACATGGGTAGGAAGGGAGTATCATAAATAAAACATAGTCCCGTAGTATCAATGAGGTCTCACTACTTGGCAGATAAATAAGAAATTATAGGTAAGTTACGAATAATAATTGCTAATCGTTTTCAGTGTTTCGTGGACAGTTTAATTTATTAATTTAAATTAAAAATATATTTATTGATCTTCAAACAGACACTTCCAAAATAAAACAAAATTAATACTATGGGCTGTGATTTACAAGAATATATCGGTTGACCCACGAAGATGTTTCTATTTTTCATCCATGTTTACATGCAGTAGTACGTTAATATTGCATAGCCTACAAGGTGACGTGTCAAAGTACCGCCCTGACAACCTGTTACCAAATTAAGAGTAAGTAACGCAGTAAGGTAGCTGGTTATCGAAAGTGGTAGTGGCACTTTGAGGGAAATGTGCACGTCATGCCACCTCTCGGCAGGTTGTTGGGGTGGCATCTTGCACGGCCGCCTTTAACTCCAGGCTGCGGCCTTCGAAGTGGTAACGTCGCAAGTGGTGTTGTAACAGCTGTTTTGTTTGGAAGCAGCTAATGGTATTTTTTATTTACGAAAGATAGGTTACTGTAGTTAAAGGCGGCCGTGCATCTTGCCACCAGTCTGCGTGGTGGCGGATTGTCAGGAGCGTACACAACAATACAACCCACTACACTACTGTACCTCCGGAATAAGGCACCCTAAGATTCATTAGTCGACATACCTTACCTCCGTTCCGCCACCCCGGCCCCGCCGCCCTCGGTGACCGCCCGGTCCGCCCACCCCCTGCCTGGGGCCGGCCCTGAGGGAGAATCAAAGAGTGACTGATCAATAAATCATGGGAAATAAATAATTGGCTATCTATAGTGACCCATTGAGGAACTGACGAAGCATCACACCCTGGTTTCACTAGCTGGAAAAAGTTAAAGATGCTGATCTTTCTCTATTGTTTCTAATCATTAGTGGGGATATGGATATAATACCTACTGCACAAGCTTCAATTCCATGTCCCTACATGCACCAGATCTCAGGATGTTTTGTTCAAAAGAAACAGCATCTCACCATTTTCCTGATTTTAAATTATATGCTACCTTCGGAGTAGCCACAGAGAAGTAAGGTACATAGGTACAGTAACATTCAAGGGTACTCTTTAGGTTGTGTCTAGCACTATAATCGCTGGTGTCTAGGGCAAAGTTCAACGACGCCCCCTCGCCATCATTTACAACGCTTGCGGTGGAGGAAAAGGCCCTCTGCAATAGTAGTTTTTTTACAGTGCTTCCCGCTCTGGCTCTTTCTTGCCTGTCACAAGTATATAAAGTGCACAATTTTCCCAAATGCAAGATTTCTCTGTCTGTACCTTACATCTCTGTGGAGTAGCATGATTGCACGCCATGAAGCTGGCAAATCACTTCATAGCACTTCTTTACCTTTTTCTTCCAATATATTGCTCTTTAGGAGGTATAAGTTAAACTTTGAATGATCTATAGCCAAGAAATGGACTTGAACTGGTTCACCGAACCCTTCTAGACAATCTTCTTCTTTTTTCTTGATCTCTTACTAACTGGTCAGATTATTATGAAACTTAGTACTAGATCCACAGTATCTCGAGAGGGGTTATGATTTTTTTTTGGAAATTTTTGTTTTTATGCTGATTTTCCCATAAAACCACAGAAAGTCACATAAAAAAAGTACAAACAATATTGATAAAAATTTAGAATGCTCCTTTTAACTCTTAACAAAATGGTACATCCCCCAATGCTGTAAAAATTATAGTTCAAAAGTTGTTTCAACTTTTGTTATTTTCCCCATAAAATATCAGAAGCCTTCCACCCCATGATAAGGGTTGTTGACAAACTAATCGGGGAAAGCATGTGTCAGATTGCTGATACCGTTATTTTATTTTAATATTTGTTTAAATTTGGCTAATATTGTATTCATTCAAGTGTAAGTATATGAGTGAATCCCATTACCTATTATTCTGGACCATTTGCAACACATCCATTGCCTCAGATTTGTTGAAGTGATTCCACCAAAGATCTAGTTATTTCTCACATACATAACAGCACATCTCAAATGCAGACTTTCTGTTTTGTAAAAGTTGATCACGGCGGTTTGAATGTAACTTAAAGTATATCCCTCTCGAACTTGATAAAATACTTCTAATCCAATAGAAGATCGCGTTGAGAAATGGGTTTTAACTATTCCTTAGGAATTAACAAACAGAAATCACCAAAAATAATTTATTATAACAAACAGCAACCTTTACAAAGAAAATAAATTAATAAGTCTAAAAGGGTGAAAATGCCGTGTGTTCAGGAGCGACAAGACAAAAAGAAAATACTGACTCTTGTCAATCCGACCGATGCCAAATGCTGACAGATCTTGAATAAAATGTTGGATTGAAAGATTGTTGTAGCACCAAACAATAAAATCACTTAAAAATCCAATTTTTGAACATCAAATTATGGCAAAAACATGAATTGTACTTTGATTTGTTATACCGTGCCGAGTCATTCCAGGGAGGCAAAATGACAGCTATAATACTGGCAGGTGTAGATCTAATTTTACTATATTATGTAATATCTACTGCTGTAGAGCTGAGGTGTTGAGGCCAGGTTCGTCTTTCTTGGCGATTCCAGACAGAAGCTTCTTGATCTCAGCGATAGCTTTGCCAGGGTTCAGTCCCTAAAACATACATTATCGGTACATGATAAATTGTAAGAGTTTGTAAATTTGTATTTTTTTGGGAATAAATATTAAAGTATAAGGTTATTTTAAAAATTTACAGCATAGTGCATAAAATAAACAGGGACAGGAAAAAGTAATGTCTGCAGAAATTAAGCGAGTAATCGAGAATACATTACTGATCACAATAAATTATTGAAATTAACTAGTCAATAATATGAATAATTGTTGACCTAGGACTAACCTTGGGACAAGTTCGGGTGCAGTTCATGATGGTGTGGCATCGGTAGACGCTGAAGGGGTCCTTCAGTTTGCCGAGTCGCTGCTCTGTCGCCTCATCACGGGAGTCGATTATCCACCGGTAGGCTTGCATCAGCACTGCGGGGCCAAGGTATTTATCTCCGTTCCACCAGTAAGAGGGACAGGATGTGGAGCAGCAGGCGCACAGAATACACTCGTAAAGACCGTCCTGGGTACAACATAACAATTGTGACAGGGAAGTAACTGCGTGAAATCATACACCATGGGAAATTTACACAATAACAGGTCTTTTCATAATGTTCAAGTGTAATCTAAAAAAAAAAAAAAAAAAAAAAAAACAAGTAAAGACAGGATAAGAAACAAAGGAAGTAGACAATAATGTGGTAGTGATAAGACATTAGTTTGAAAAAAGGAGTATGACATGACTAACTATATTTGGTCACAAGAAAAAAATAGATATTGAAGTATGGAAGAAATGTATTTTGTGATAAAATTTAAAGAAAAGAACAGAAGACCATAAAAACTTGGCAAAACACCATGAAGAGAACCTGGTCCTGATTATATAAGATACTAATGTTGATACTACCTGCTGTTTCCATAGGACTCGATCCTACCAAGAACTGTAGCTACATCCTCCGAACTATTCATAGTTTTGGACATTAAGACTAAACATCGGTTGATTAAATGAAACTAACCAGTTTCTTGCGGTCGTCCACACTCTGCAGGTACTGCTGACTGCCGCTCTTAGCCTCGTTCTTGCGCTGCAGCCACGGTTGAATGCTGCGGTATTGCTGGTAGAAGTTGTTCATGTCTGGAACCAAGTCCTTGATCACGTACATGTGCGGTAGAGGGTAGATCTTGGCTGGCTTGCTGCTCGACTCGTCAATCTTACTGCGGAAAAAATATACCCTCTGAGTGATTTATTTACTTTTGCAATATAAATATAAACTTAATAAGCCACTGATTTTTTTTATGTTTTGTATCATGTGTTCTAATCTTATTATTATTTGTTGCTTTTCTTTTAGAGTTTTAGAAGTTTGAATAAAGATTGTTGTAAATTTTTATTGAGAAATATTACTAGGCACGATTACACAAATTATAGTAGCCCAGTAGGCCTATTTGATTATTTAGTCAAATATTTAGCCAAACGTTTATCCTGCATAATGTATTTCTATCAATTTAAAGCTATAATTTCTTTGATTCAAATGTCAATACCTATATCAAAAGTATAGAAAATTAAGTGTTTTTAGTAGTCTACTTTTCAATACAAATAAAACAAATCTGTATATTTGTCCTCTTCAAGACATGTATGATATGGGTAGTGCTGATTTTTTGTTTAACTTGATCTTAAACGATTTTCAAAACAACTATGATAATGTGTTATTTTGCAAACTCAAAAGAGCTGGTTTTGCAACACCGTTTGGCAATCAAAATATTTACTTCATGAAAAGCTTTGGTTTAGAATTCATTGAAAATGGCATTAGGTAACATGCAAATTATTTGTAACATTCTTTAGATAAGTTTATGAGGCACTATGGCAGGAATGTTCATTGAGCTAATCAAACAACAAACACTTCAACAACACAAAGGTTTGGTATATACCGTTACTTGTATTGATTCAGCTGTCACGTAAAATTACCGAGGAGTTGTGCTTAATGAAGTTTCTTGTATTGTTACAGCGTAATTTTATCGGTTGATTTCTTTTTTTAAAATTTCAAAATTGTTTGTGCTTTATAACTTTTATACTGAGACTGATTAGTATAGAAATTTACATAGGCCTACTATATAGGGCCAATCTATTTAAAATTGTTGCCTATTGTTTCATCTATTTATTTTAAGAATTGGTCATAGTCATTAATTGTGTATTGAATGTAGGCCTATAATAATGAAGGTTGCAATACAGATTATAATGGGCCTATGTAATAACATCTTGGCAATAGCCAATTTACTTTTTCCTGAAAATTCAAAATATGGAGATGAGATAGTAAATTCCAAAGTTTCAAAGTAACTTCAATAAATAAAACATACACACAACATTTTTATTGTGTGGATTTTAATTCGTAGGCAGATCCGATGGAGACACAATTCTGTTAGCTCAAAATACCTTGTTTTACTTGATACAGTAGAACCCCTCATATCCGGCCTTGGTTTTACCGGTCCTCTGTTTATCCGGGCCCTTCCAGGAAGCCAATAAGAAAATGTTTTTCTCGCATCTTACAGACATTTAGATGCAAGCACTAGTCTTTGCGTTTACTCAAGTCATAAAATGAATTGTTCTCACTATTTATCTGTTTGTTTATAATGTATTTACTGTGTCACTATACTCAGTTGAGCTAGTAGGCCTAACCTCTGAACAGTTGGTTGATTATTTTCCAAACTGGGGTTAGTACAGTACAGTCGTACCGGTACATTAATTTTTGTATTTCACTAAGTGGATAAGAAAGTTGAGTAACTTATAAATGCATGTACCATTTAAGTCCTAATGATCTTCAAGTCCAATTCATTGTCATTTTACCTCCATTATTGTTTAATATTTTTTGTAGGCCTACCTGGAATCATAGTATTTGTACTATCATTACTTAACGACTTTAGCTTACAAATAATTTTTTTTTAAGTTATAAACATGTTTATTCTTCTAAAAATAATCCCAGAACAGACTTGAATGATACTTTTGACTGCATATATTGATTAGATAATATTATTAGATCAATGGTCATTTTCATAGTAGGTTGGTTTATCCGGCCAAATGGTAATCCGGCCAGGGGCTTGGTCCCGTGGTGGCTGGATATGAGGGGTTCTACTGTAGCTAGCATTATGAAAGGGGGGTACTTGATAACTCAAGGTGGGCCACAAACCGCTAAGTTATTTCATTATAAGATTGAAAATTGCCATTGGCAGAAATTCAACCTGGGCGTTTTCCCAAAAGTGGGGAAATCCATAAAACTTTGGTTTACTCAAGGATTGAAGAAGCTCAGATTAAAGGACCGAGGTCCCCACAAAATAGAGGACCCGAGGAATACAGGAGATTTATGCACTAAAACTCTATTTTCAAGAATCCAAAGTCGACCATGACAAACCTTTGTACTTGGATTTACCTGATACAAGCCAGTGTGTTGACTCCACCGATGTTCATTGCGCAAGAGCCGCAGATTCCTTCACGACAAGATCTGCGGAAAGTGAGGGTTGGGTCTACCTCATTCTTTATCTTGATCAAAGCGTCCAATACCATTGGGCCGCATCTGCAAATTTATTCAGAGCTCTCAATAAAATGTGCACAGTAACAGACACTTGAGGAAAATAAACAGTTTTGTTAGCAAGGTAGGAAAGGTAATATTAATAAATAAAGGAAGTGTTAAAGAAAAAAAATTGACAGGCGAAAAATGTGTAGATAAAATAAGTCATGAAAAAAGCAACTGGACCAGTGACAACACATCAAGGAAATGTAACTCTTTAAAAATATAATAAAAATCCAATGGTGTGGCGCTTGTCATCATCTTTGAAAAAATAGGTTGTTTATTAATATTATAAGGATCTTTTAAAATCTATAAATGGTAACGCCGTTCCCTCCCCAATATAAAAATTGTACATTTTTAAAGCAAAATTTCCATGAGATGAGGATTATTTCTTTCTACAATGAATAATCATCTCTTTCTATGAGAAGATTAAGCATACACCTAGAACTAATTAAATAAACCAATACCGGTATTTAAATTACCAAACTTTTAGTGGTTGTAATAAAAAAACCGTTTAGAAGGAACTTATTAAAGGAAATTAAAACTAAGCAAATTTAGTACTATCAACAGTTATACTTTATAAACTTGGCATTCAAAGTTAAAAATGATAGAACTACCAATTAACGTCCTCTGGTCCCCAACACGTCTTCCATTAATTAATTTGGTAGCAGAATCAGCACGCTTAATTTAGTTTTACACCCCCAATCAATCAGTAGTAATCACCAGACCTAAAACGGCTACAAACATTGTTGTAAAATATGAGAACAATTAATTATCATTTGATCAGTTTCAAAAACAATTAATAGGTATATAAACATTCATTATAGAAAATTTCATCAGTGGTAGCTATATTGTTCTCAGAATACCGTACTTCATCTTTTTTGATTTATTTAATTAACAGCAATTTAATTTTACCGGTCAGTGATGACTGGTGGAGCATGTAAAGTTATGCAATCAGATACAAACTTATCAATGAACTTGGGTTAAAAGCCATGTTAGATTGGATTTTAATGGGAATTTGATTGCTCAAAAACATTGATAGCAGTTGTGGGCTCGACTCTGATAAGACATATTCACTGCATTCTACTGCTTCGACGGTTAGTTTTTGTGTGATGAGTGCAATATGAACCCTGCCCGGTTTTAAAGTTTTGATTGGAACAAATTGATGACAAAGCATGAACGAAACAGCCACAGTGATAAATTTGAATGATCACCCAACACAAAAGTACAGAAATGTAGTGTTAGGAATCAACGTTACTTTTATCATCTTGTTTCTGATTTTCAAGTTAGTCAAACAAATCATCGTTATGCAACATTCATAGTTCACAGATATGAGAAGTGTTACCAAATGTTTGATCATTGAGTCGATGTTGTGTAATCAAATTGAAACTTATGGGAGTAATTTATGTTTGTTTTGTGTTAAAATTAAAATTGTATAATCGTTTAATTTTTTAATTAATACATAATCCTCAGGTTTGACATATGATAAAATTATTGGTGGAAGAATAAAAAAATTGCATGCATAGTAAATTGATTTTAATTTAAATTTTAATTTCAAAGTCATATTCCTAGTCCAAACTGTTGTTTTTCTTACAACAAGAAATATTTTATGATACAATATCGCAAGGTAAAATTATATTATGATGGTATGTTGTTTCTGAATGGAAATAGAGTTACTCGTATAAAAAATAATTCACTCACATAATACAAGAACATAAAAGAAAATTTGTTATTGATGACAACAGTTATTGATAGAAATTATAATAATATTCAGCATTTCAGCAATGGCGTTATTCGATATTTGTTGAGTAGTCCTAGGGCCTGAAGTTAGTTGTGGAGGCAAAAGCAATTGTATTTAGGCCTACCTTTTAAATAAAAGAACAAAAATTCATTAATACATTTAAAATGTGCATTAGTATGAAATCAAAACATTTGTATGAGCTTTCTTTATTTCCTATGTAAGACACAGTACAACACACCGCAAGCAGTGCAAACATTTTTTCTAAGCCTAAGTAAGATTAACTTGGTAACTAACAAGAAGGTTGTGTGTCGCCAGCAACAAGAGGAATAACATTTTAAAATAAAACTATGATTTATAAATAACTATTATTTGGTAGCAAGTAGGCCTATGCTCTTGTCATTTCTAGACACTAACCTCTTCTAAACTGGAGCAATGAGCAAATAATCTTTAGGCCTACTTACACTAGTATTTGAGTAATTAATAATGAATTTGACACAACATTATAGCCTATGCAAATGGCGATACTGAAATGTGGAACCAGAGGGTAGGGGGAAAATATTAAGATTAAGTTGTATCACTGATCATGCGTTTCAAAGCTTTTTGGCAGCACACACACCAAATTGAGGAAATATTTATTAGTCAACAAAGATTGTGCTATAGAAAATTCCTGATATTGCCGCAACTAACAACAGAAAGATGATTATGTCTCTGTAACCATCATAGATGTTTCAATTTATTTGTTGAACACTTATCAAATGCTCACACTTTTGCCGAAATTATGCAAGATGTTCAAGATGATTGACGCAGAAATGTCTTAATGGACCTTTATTTAATTTGTTTATCAGCCACTTGCTTTCTTGTTAACTTAATTCTTGTAAACTATTTTTAACGGTTAAGTTAGCCATCCTCAGTTTTTGTACATTACTGTTTTGTTACATGTAGACCTAACTTAAAAATGGAGTTGTCCATTGGTAAGTCAATACATGAAAAGGGTCAAAGCATACTTTAAATGCTTAATAAGCAGATAAATAAATAGATAGTTAACTTAACTTACTGCTGTTGGGATGTACAGTATAACTTCAGTAGGAAATAATTGCAATAGGCCTGATTAAGTTACTAGTCTCGCCAAATCAGTTCAGCCCTAAAAGATAAAGTAGGTAGGAACTTTGCTTTGTAATGAGAATTTATCATCACACGTTAAATTTGCACCGATTATTCAACAACTTTGAAATGAAACCACATTCAATAGTTTGGTGGAAAATAAAACATGAACCATAGGAAAATACTTACGTATTCAAATCAACAGTGTATTCCTGCATAGAGGGCTTTGAATCAGGGTTGTCCGGATTCCATCGGTAGATGGCAAATGTCTTTGTACGCTTAGGCTTCTCGGCAGCAGCTGGGGTAGCCGAGGCCACGGCGCTGACATGCACCCTTTTGGCCTGAAATGTCATAAAATTGAATAATATAAAAGAGAGGATTTTTCTTCATGGTAACCTTGACATAATTATAAGGCATTTTGTTTAACTTACATAATCCTGACCTATGCTAGGGCAAATATGTTCATCATTTATTTCCTGGTTGAAGATAATTTGATTTTTAAATGAAACTATAAAATTTTAAAAGGTTTATTCGTCTCTAAATTGTAAGTCTGAACTGTATTTTAAATTAAGGAAATGATTAAACAAAATCTAGGTGAAACAAAAGCTCTCCTTGAGAACTTTCCAAGGGACTCATTACGTAATGAGATATTTTTAATTAAATGAAGTTGATGATGTTTTAATGTTTTTTTATGTTTAAATAAAAATATTATTTTTCAAACTTCTGTTATTCATAAAAAGACTATGCAATTAATTTACCTGTGATAGGGAAATCTGGCAAACTCGCTGCAACAACATCTCCATTGATGAAGTCGCCATATTTAATAATACAGACGACAAATAGCCCAAGGAGAAACGAAAATGCCTGTTTGTTCTCGATTCTGCTTCTATTGTAGTTATAAAAAGTTTTATTGGAAGATATGCATTGATTATATATCAACAATATTCGCAGTTGGTAATAATGTAATGAGTATTATCGGTATTATGGATAGAATTAATTTAGTTATTCTATAAGTAGTTGTGGCGAGTTCAGCATAAATACAACTACAAGTAATACATTATGACTCAGAACTCTCTACTGTGAGCATTACATTCATGTGACAGAAATGGAAGACAAAATACTACAAACAATTTAAAGTTATAATTTTTTTCTTTTTTTCTTTCGTGTCTACGAGAGTGGCATTTTTTTAATGATGTCAAACACTTTTAAGGGAAAGCGGTCCAAACCCATTAAAGTTTTGTGGATGTGCCGGGGATTGAACCCGTCTCTCCCGCACCGAAGTCCGAGACGCTAACCACTAGGCTAGCGACACACCCTATAACAACAAGATAACAGAAAAAATGTAAGTACAAACTAACCCAAAAATTCATTATTATAAATGTCAATTTATACCAAATGTAAAACATGTTCAAAGTCTAATGTACATAACATCATAGATAAAACATACTATATAACATTCCATACCTTATACAATACCATGCCTTATTTCATAGCCATTTTTGATGTACGGAATAGTGCTCTGGTGACACTCCCCTGCATGCTATGAAATACTTTTGTTACAAAAAAAGCTGTGAGGGTGATAACATCTAAAGGCCCTAGAGAACATTGCCGACCCATCTTCAAAGAATTGGGAATCCTCACAGTGGTGAGCCAGTGTGTGCTCAATAGTCTGGTCGTGCTAAAGGAGAACCTGAGTGATGTTGTGACCCGTGCCCATGTAGCACAGATGGTTGGGCCAACGTTGGCCAACTGTGGGACAGTTGGTCGATGGTTGGTTGGAGCTTCCACAACCAACCAACCGTTGTCCAACTGTATATCTCGTAGTTGGGCCAACCAATATTTACAACTGTGGACCAACATTGGTTCATTGTTAATTAAATACATTAATATGCATTGCTGGGTATCATACATCAAGCCAACCGTTGTCCAACCGTTTTTCACTCCGTTGGACCAACAAAAGATACTTTTGTTGGACCAACAATGGTCCATAGTTGAGTTTACACGACTTTCATTCTCTGGGTCTAGCTTTCACAACATAATTATAATAAAATATCTGGTTTTACAATACCTTTATCAGTTCCAAAAGTTTCCAAAAGTTTTTGGAACTGATAAAGGTATTGTAAAACCAGATATTTTATATATTACAGTTCCGGCGCTACAACAATGAATTTTAATAATTTTAATAATGCAAATATTTTTTAAATTAATATTCTTTAACTTATTTGCAACAATTTAAGGGGAAAGAGTAATTAATCATATAACAGGCAATTATAATAGCATTAACAATCTAACGGTAATTAATTAATCATTCAAATACCAGTATCCTCTCTAACTCCAAAAAAAAAAAAACTACTTATGATGCCTTAACAGATTAACAGAATCATATTATACTGTGTAGTATCAAAAATGTTTGAAGTATTGCGACCATTGCAACTGTCGGCTACTCTTTCACCACTTGAAAACTCTCTATATCAGCTATCACAGATAGCTCAGTGGTAAAGTAAGAGGCTCATAAGTCGAAGGACCGGGTTCGAGACCCGTCTGGGCCAAAAAAAATTTTGTTCTAGTTTTTTTTCAAAATTTGTTTTTATGAACTATTTAATCAATTTACTCAACTAATAATTATGCTTTTCGTACTAAATCTTTATTATTTTGTGTGAAATAAAACGGTTGGACAATGGTTGGCTGGAAAACTGTTTAAAGAGGTGACATTTCTACCGTTGGCCAACTGTGTGGCTCCACAATTTACCAACGTTGGCCCAACCATCTGTGCTACATGGGTGGTGATAGACATGGGTATGGAATAAGAAGAGCCCATGACCTTGATATGCCTCGCTGCCGCTTGAGCCATACCATAAGGAGATACCCCCGCTTGGCTATTAAAATCTACAACTCCCTTCCAAACCACCTAAGGAACCTCGACTGTACAGCGTTTAAGACCGAGCTGAAGAACTTGCTCACAAATAGGCCCCTGTATAGTCTTGACGAGTTGTCTAATGATCCTTTAATGCCCGGTTGAGAAACAGACACGCTTACCCCAGCCTAAGTTTTAAAGTTTAAAGTTTTTGGAATTTTGTAAAGCAAGTTTTGTAAATAATAATTTTGTAAATATTAGTATAACGACGCAATCTATCCGAGATACTTCGGTCAAAGATTAAGACAACAAGTATTCAAGTAAGTAAGTAAGTATTCATTCAAGTTTAAGCATCAAAAGTCAATGCTCAAAGACAAAAAGTATTTCCTCTTACCAAAAATGTTTCATTTGGAATCCATCTATTAATTTTATTTCGGGAGTATTTCAAAAGTTCCAAAATCGGAAGATCCAAAGAATATATTGCCGATCAGAAGTTCCAAAATCGAAAGATCCAACGTTTATATTGCCGATCGGATCTTCCAAAATTGGAATTTCCAAAGGTTATTTAGCGGGTCGGAAGATCCAAAATCAAAAGATCCAAAGAAAATATTGCCGATCGGAAGTTCCAAAATCGTAAGATCCAAAAGTACAGTCATAACTAGAAGTACAAATTTATTTCTTAAAGTAAACTTATGAAATAGACTGTCCGTTTCACTTTGGAACTTGTGATCATATGCCGGGTCGGAATTTCCAAAACTCTAGTAATCAGATCGGAAGTTCCAAAACGCTAGAACTGTTGCGTCTCTCAGATTGAAGGCGTTTAAACACACGTCGTCACCAGCAACGTTAATGGTTATTTGTTTTGTTAATTGATATTTTAATTAATATTTTTGTATTCGTATTTTCAAGTACACACACTTAAATACACACGCATTCATACATACATGTATATATGGGATTTTGAAGGCATGCAGGGCTAGTGTTGGTATTGTTTACTATTTATTTTCAAAAGTAAAATAACGTGTTTATTTTTATTCTTAAAAGATGGTTTAAGTATTAACCTTGACAATAACAATACTAAATTATCTGGCAAACGTCTTAAACAAATAATAACTTATTTTTATAGCTTATGACAATTTTTGTTTACTCCGTAAGAGAATCTGGAATAAATCATTTGAAAAATGAAAAGATAATGAATTTGTCGTGGTTTTTTTGAGCTGAACTATTAAGTTGTAATAGTGTACTAGTAACCAACGCTAAATATTTGAAGTTGTTTCCGGTTGTTGTAACAAACAGGTAGTTTCAAATTTAATTAAATTGAAATTGTAACGTTAAATTATATTTAGTTTTCCCCACAACTAGCGAATGTCTGCTGTAACCTAATTCAAGTGAAATGTAATTTTTTCCTTACAAAGAATGTGTTTTATCAGGAAATGTAAAATGTTCAACTGTATATCAAACATTTGCGTCTAATCAAGTTTTGTTGGAGATTCAATTTGTGTACCTAAGTAAAAGGTTTTGTTGTAACAATTTTAAGTCATGTTTGAAAATACTTATTGTTCTGCAAACTATCACTTAATCGTTGAAGATATGAGAATTGCCTTATACGACATAGTTTTTTGGTCTTTATATGTGTAAATAGCTGTTCTGAATTAAACTGTTTAAAAAATTGACTACTCGATTCCCGTGCGTTCGACTGACCAACATTTGTACATTAACTCCCTTTACTATTCAAATACTGTTTGCGTAACTGTGATGTATATGGGTTGCGTTCTGAATCACAAGGCACTGTAATTATAGATAGGGCTCAGATTATTAATTGACGAATATTGTGTAAATAAAGCAATTGTTTTAAATCCGCTTATTAAAAGTATGCTATCGTAAACGAATCAATTTAGCATTTAATTTGTTTAAATAATAGTGATATATTGTTATCAAATGCACAACAATTATTTTCAATAAATGTGTTTCCAGTTGGTGTCGTTTGAGTGCACAGGCGTCAACTCAATGTTTCACCCGTATTTAATGGTAGATTGTACAAATTGTAAACACTATTTTTTATAGTTGAAACAAAATATGGACAGGTCTAATTAGTTACATAATTATTGAAATTAATTATTTCATTATAATAATCTTTCCAGTAAAAGATTTATGCTCCAATAGGACTTATCAGTTTTCGGCTTCAACTAATCAACGAAAAGTCTAGTGTGGTACCGAGAGATAAATTATGCCCCTTACCTATAAAAATAATCGTATTTTGCATGATAAATGTTTAAAAAAACTGGAGTAGGATCTAAAATATTCCTTTTTTAATTGCATACCTTATTCAAGTTGTTATTAGTTCTGCGATGAAATTTCTATGGTATTTAATAGAATTATATTTGTATTGTAATAAAACATGTCTGTGTAGTATATTTCCTTAACAATTAAATGTCATTAACCAAACTCAGCAAGGATCAGTCACCCGTTACTATCTTTTAGTTTAATATTCATTTATCTTTGTTTAAGGTATATTATTTTCTACAATTTAAAAACATTTATTAGAAGTCTAATTGTCTAAATGCAAATTTACTTGCTCTTATTGTCCTGCCATGTAGGTATAAAATAAAAAAATGAAAGTATTGTAGAAGAGGGTTCGTGTAAAGGTAAATTTAATGAAGAATACGCAGCTTAGTAATTTGTGGATATTGTAAAGAGTGTGATATTTCGTTATAAGTCTCTTTGAACTGTGAAGGATCCAAACAGTAAACAGAAAAATAAGTGTTACACAGGAATTAGTACTGGAAGGTGCTGAAGACTGTACAGTATGTAGAATCATTTGTGTTCGATAACTAAAGTGAACCTCCACAAAACTACAGTAACGGTAGGCCTACAGTGGTAGACTGTGGAAGTATAGTAAAGCTTGAAATAACATTAATTTGAAAAGGGAACTTATAACCTGTGGATGGAATTAAACAAAATTAAACAGTAAACAGTAAGCTAATGACGTAACTTGTCTATGATGTAGTCGATGTTAAGTATAAGCGGGACCTCCTTATATTTACAGATCTTAAAAGTACCTGATGGGACTAAAGTTGCTATGTTAGCTTCTCAAAATCGAATAACTGTTAAGTGTGTAATATTAACACGTTTTGATTTAAATTATGTTTCATACATCAAATTATTCTCAGACTAATGTACACTACAGATCGTCGAGTTGTTGAAACTCGACTAAAAGAACTTATTGATGATGAGAAGAATTTATTGACTTATCTATTTTCACCCTACGCTTTTAATAAAATATGCGATGGGAGTTTCTCTCATTTGTTTTGATTTTCTGTTTATATTGTGTTGTTATTTCGTCACCTTCATCGCAACCCATAAGGTCCATGTTAGATTCGCATACAACATACTTATCGTAACAGTATTTTTGTCATAAATAAATAAATGTAAAAATTAATAAAATAACACATCAACACATGATTATTCTGATTGCTTATTACATACCTTATAGGCCTACATTGCTTGTATTACAGAGTCGTTATTTTTTTATCAATCAAATGTCTTGGATTGTAATGAAATCATTTCTCGAAAATCATATTTAAAATATTTTTTTATCAAATGGTTTTAACGATTATACGTACTTTAAACCACAACCTAGCAAGGCTCAGTCCCCCGGTACTAAAAACTTAAAATGCGTGATATCATTGACTATATATACCTACAGGTAGGTATATATAGTCAATGGTGATATTTATAAGACCAATGTCTGTTCAACAAAGAGTAATTATTGAGCACCTGACATCCATCAGCAATATGGTATGTTCTTTTCCGACGAATCAATAGGCCAAAACATTGGCTGATGTGTTAACATTTAATAAAATGCATTTATAGATCAAAAGGTATTTATTTCCCGTGCTATTGCCGTTAAAAAGCACGGGTACAACAGCTAGTTATCAAAACATAGACAAAAATACATTAAGAAAGTGTTACCATACTAACAACATATTACATTGTGAAAGTTTGTGTGTTTGTTTTTCTTATTGGGGTTCAATCACTCACTGGTCGGATTAGGTTGAAATTTGGCATGCTGATAGCTCACTTTCCCGATTAAAATATAGGCATATCTTTATCTCAAAACTCATTTCGTGCTCCGCCCGACTCGATTGTCCGTTAGAGTTTGGATTTGCAACATATCAACCTATGATTACATTTGAGCACTTCTTCTTTATATCATAAGTTTCTTCTACATCTGTATTATAATTCAACACAGGGTTTACTAATTTGAAATATACGATACAGCCTATGAAATAACTACACCTTAGAGAAACAGATTGGGCAAATTGGTTTACTTCATACCAAGCTATCAATAACATACACACCAAATTATCTCCCCCCTGTAACAGCAAACCTAGGTACTCATTGAATTTAATAATATTCATATAGGAAATATTTCTTACAATTACTAGGGAAGAATTTAGTAGAATTACAGCAAGGTAAATGGAAAATTGGTTTCTCTGCAGGTTCACTGACGCGTGAGTATTTTAATTTTACGGGAGGCAGTACACAATAATGATATCTTAGGCCCCGGCCACACGATGTGGTTTAACCGCGCGAAGTTAAGCCGCGCGAAGTTAAGGGGTTCGACAACACATTGAATCAAATGAGAGTGGCCACACGAGGCGAAGTTTAGCCGCATGTGCGGTTGAGCCGCGACATGTCGTCCCCCGACCGCGCGAAGTTAAGCCGCGTTGGAGGGGATGACACATGCAGTCTTATGAGAGTGGCCACACGATACGGTTCGACCGCGCGGTAGCCGCGCTTATCGGAGATATTCTTCGGACATTTCCAGAGGTTTTATGAGTTTGTTTTGATTGTTTTTACCGGTTGTGTGGTGTTCAAACAATGTTTGATACATACAAACTCTGAACTATGGTTTCGCATGTGCTCGTAAAAGGTTTGGAACACAAAAATGGTTTTTCCGTTATGAAGGGATGGACCAAATGATTTATGTTAACATTTGGTTCCAGATCACCACAAGCTACTAATGCACAAACTAACATAAGTGTTTTGTCCATGACTAAAAAGAGTGGACTGAACTATTTAATAGAGTACTGATACTGGGAAAACCCAACAGGAAGCGGTTCATCCGCCCCGTGTGGCCAGGCACTTCGCGCGGCTTAACTTCGCGCGAAGATAAGCCGCGCGGCTTAAATTCGCCTCGTGTGGCCAGGGCCTTACTCATCATCATTGGCACAACCATTACGGATAATTATTATTATCACCGTAACATAATTAAAGAAGTAACTAAATCCAAAAAGATTACACAAACAAATTTACTTAATTACGTTAAAAAAAGTATATATCATAAAGCATTTCTTATGCTATATGATATTTATGGTTATACCATCGCAGGTGAAGCCGAAGGTACTTGCTAAGTAATTAATAACCCTTACATTGACATTGATCAAACAAAAGCCATGAAATGATTAGGGATATGCCTCAGACCCCAAATGAACGAAGGGTAAAAATTTGTTGAGTATATAAAAATTTCATATAAATATAAAATGCAAATCAAATAATTTGCATACTACTTTTTAATGTATTTAGTATCAGACAAAAACAAGAGTTAGTGAATTATTGAGTTAATTCAAGACTTGTATTATTGAATTGGTATTTTTCAATCATAAAGTCTTTAAAGTCTAGCATTAAGTCTTTCGATCTAAGATTTTAAATTCAGGGATTATGATTTAGTTTCATACATCAACATGGCATCAACCGATATACGCCGTCTGCAATTATGGTGCCTTGTTAGAAGGCAATCTATATATACCACAGTGAGGCAAGCAGTATTTGACAAATACGGGAGTTAGAAACTGTATGAGGAAAATTAAGATTTCCTAAACAAATTGGGCTGTTATCTAGATACATATTTTACTTTATAAAAAGATAAGTTACTTCAGATAAATACAGTATAAACCACAAAGTAAACTACCTATTTGTTCCATAATACTTAATTCTATGTTCTAATAGCAAAAAATAAAATGTTAGCCTACTGAGAGTATTCTCAGAAGATTAACTCTTCTATTAGGAGTATTTCATTCCATCTATGTTTGATAATATTGTTGTCATGATGGTTAAATTTAAAAAAGGAGATGTAAAAAAAAATTATCATAGCATATATTTAAGGCCAATACATACGCTAAGAGAATTGTAAAACTATACAAAGAGTGCTTCAAAGGGCATTTTGATACTCCATTGATAAAATACAAACAGTATTTTAGTAATTGCCTTTACGTGATATAAATTAGAACAAAACTAAAATTAATTAAAAACTCCGTTATACTTAATGGCTAATTTATGTGACAATATTTATCTAACATACAGCGAATTAAAATGTTGTTTTTAAACATTGTCTGAATATACGTCTTAAATATGATGTTGAAATGGTTTTTGGACAAAAAATACACACACCAAATAAGTAGTTTGGTTACTTTTCTATACAGATCTAAACTCGAGTGTCTAAACTTGCCCTGACATTAGCAACGCGGCTGGTTACGGCGTTCATCGCCTTCAATCTTAGAGACGCAACAGTTCTAGCATTTTGGATGTTCCGATCTGACTAGTAGCGTTTTGGAAATTCCGACCCGACATACGATCGCAAGATCCAAAGTGAAAAGGACAGCCTATTTCATAAGTTTACTTTAAGAAATAAATTTGTACTTCTAGTTATGACTGTACTTTTGGATCTTACGATTTTGGAACTTCCGATCGGCAATATTTTCTTTGGATCTTTTGATTTTGGATCATCCGACCCGCTAAATAACCTTTGGAAATTCCGATTTTGGAAGATCCGATCGGCAATATAAACGTTGGATCTTTTGATTTTGGAACTTCCGATCGGCAATATATTCTTTGGATCTTCCGATTTTGGAACTTTTGAATTTCTATTTAGAAATGATGAAATTAAACGAGAGATATAAACGTTTTTCTTTATATTCATATCTTTTTATTTATCATCTTCCCTCATGCAACAAAAATCTTCAAACCTATAGTCTCCGACCAATATACCGGCTTAAAGCAATTTTTATAATCAAAGACTCAATATTCAAGCTTATTGCTCTTGTAATCTTTTGCTAAAATTCAGCTATTAACGTCCATGTCATATGCTAAAAAAATATTATAATGTCAAAGTTTGTAGGGATAGGGAAGCTGTCTGCTAGAAATCAGAATTGGATTGGATGGTTGCTGTTCTATTATTTTGTAGGAGAAAGATTTGTGGCTAATGTATATAAAATGTTGATATTTTGACTAATGATTAGTTTAGAGCTGTGACCAATAACTGTTACCTTCACTTATCAGCGTTCAACTTACTTGGTAAGCATGTTTTAATCTTTGAGATGATTCTGAAAAGGTATGGGGATGTAAGTTAGGCCTAAACACAGTTTGGCCAATAGGAAAATGTTTTTAGGAAAAAGTTACAGTTTAAAGTTGTATAAACATTAAGTTGTTTCCATTCACTTAGAGCTTGAATGTAATGTGGGATGGAATAGACAATGATTTAGGATATCTCAGTGCCTTAAGTCAATAATTACAGTTTATTAATTGATACTTGGATTTTGTTTAATCTATACAAGATAGTTCAATACAGTTAAGCTTAAATTACACAGGCAGTAGTGAAGTTGCAAAGCTTCCAGTGTGGGAATACTCGCTGTCGTAGAAAAAAATATAGGTCGCTTATCAATATCTATGGCCTAGGTCCTTTAAAAAACAGGGTGGGGACGCTGTTCCCACATGCCACCTCATCACTGCTGGACATAGGCTATAAGTTTAGGTGATTGCCAATTAAGTCACTCACTTTAGGAATTTTTTTCTATGCCTGAAAATCCTCAGGTACAGTTGGTAAATTGAGTTTACCTACAACCGTTTTTCAAACTGGCCTGTGAGTTTGCGACAGATTCTGACGTCTGCTTAAGTTTTGGGAGTCGAAAAACTTTAGGAGTTGTAAGACGAAAACTGGTCAAATAATCAACCTTTTGGCCATGTTAATGAAAATATCCCAACTTTGAAAAGCTACAGCGGCTAAACGGCTCGGCCGATTTTGACATATTTAACCCTCCTAGTGTTATTTGTCGCTGCAGCGACACATAACACACTTTGTGCAGTGTTTTGTGTCGCTGCAGCGACTCACAAACACTGTTTACGGCGAAGGCTCTATGACTGACAAAATCGGATTGAACTAGATCGAGTTAGGTATCGTTTTATTTTACAGATTCAGAGCTTTCTCCGGAGGTCTGTCTCTAAGCGCTATTCATTTTAGTTCCAAAAATATTGTAGCAGACAGCTGACGTGCGTATTTGTAAACAGCTTGGTTGTCCTCGGACCGATGACTGATGTGTTTTATTACGTTTATCATTGTTTTAGTGTTAAAAATCAAAAGTAGTGATATACATGGTGCATTATAAGAAGATTTAAGTGATTTTGAAGGGCTGGTTGATGATCCTGAAGAAGTAGGTAGTGATATTGATGTAAATTATCAGCCAGATTCCTAGCTATGTTTAGGCTATGCATTCTTAGCTAAACGCTATGTACTGAAATAAGTTTTTTTCCCATAACTTATTTTATTTGCAAATCTACTTCCTTATATTATTATATATTTGTAATCCTCATAAAATTTAGAACAAAGTGGCTATTTTCCAATATTTATAGGCCTATAATTTATACAATTTCATTGAGCGCAAACTTATTTTTTTTTTGAAAATTTTCCAAAATTTTTTTTTACCTAAAAAATTTTTTTGAAACAAATGTTTCTTATGTTCTATGTATAATATTGAAGCCCATGATTTTCCAAACAAAATGGTATATAGAACAGTATAATTAACATTGTTTTCAAGCTTCTCAGATCCGTTTTAATAAAACCTTGCAAATGAGCAAAAAATAGGCAGACATTAAGGCCAAAACAAGGGACACTCGGAGGGTTAACACCAATCGTCGCGAAATAAGGGGGACTGACGACGCGACCCTGGAGGCAGAATCTAATCAAAGAGCAAATGATCTGGCTGAATTTTTTTCCTCAAACAAACTCAAATTAAATCCACAAAAAACAGGATGCATGTGTATCCAAACTGCAAAAAGACAAAATTTAAAAAATAATAGGTCTCCGAACCTATTAATTGGAGAGGATCAAATTCAAATTTCAAAAACTGCCGACTTTTTGGGAGTGAGATTGGACGATAAATTGAGCTGGGATGCACAAATAAAAAAACTGGAGGGGTCAATGGCACGAGAGGTCTTTGTACTTCGAAGAATAAGGACCTTCGGAAACCTGGCTCTCTAAACTTGTGTATTTTGGCCTAATAGAACAGCACATTTTGTATTCAATCATCCTATGGGGAGCTGTGAAGAAGAATATTGACCAGATCTTTGTTTGGCAGAACATGGCAGTAAGAGCAATCTTGGGCATGCCGCCTCGGACCAGCTGCAAAAATGTTTATAAAGAACTTGGCTTTCTCACAGTCCCTTCACTTTATATCTATGAATCAGCTTGCTATATAAAATCACAGAACATTAAACCAACTTTTACAAATCACACTTACAACACACGAGATCAAAGGGCACACATGCAGTCCAACATAAACTCACAAAATTTGAACATAAACCAGATTACATGGGAATGAAATTGTACCAGGCCCTACCGAAAAAATTACTTGAAATTCAGAGCTTAACAAAATTCAAATCAAAATTTAAAAAATATCTAGTAGAGTTAAGTTTAGAGGACATAGACAGTTACCTAGACGGTGGCAAAAATTAGTATTAAGTTGGTTATTCTTTGTATTAATCCTGACCTGTCCAATTCCTTAAGGCAAAGGACTACGGACGGAGTGTGTATCATGTATGTATGTATGTAATTAAATGCACTAAAAGACACCTTTAAACAACATTTTCCTTAGGATTCGTTATTTAGGAGTTATAAGCAAAAAACTGAAAAAGTGCAACATTTTCATAGTTTTTCGACTCCCAAAACTTAAGCAGACGTCAGAATCTGCCGCGAACTCACAGGAGTGTTATTTGGGACCCCCAAAAGGTATTAAAACACTTTCCAGCTTTAGACGATTTTTTGGGGAGCACACCCTATATTTGATCTAATTTGCCTGGACTAACTAGACACTTGGTAGTTCTTACTTAGGCATGTCAGGGTGGTGGGTCGAGCTAGGTATGAGGTAAAAAACTATAAAGTAAAACATCAGCATTAAAAATTTTTTTGGGGGTACCCATAGGCCACTAAACAATTAAACTGACCTCAATTTTTATTGATTATCCTTCACTGATATTAATAATAGGCCAATTTTAAGAGATACAGTACTTTAATTGTCTTTGTTCTGATTTAATTTAACTGCTGTAAGTAAACTTTTTCAGTACATTTAGTACAGTAGGCCTATTGCTAAAAAATTTAATCTTTGTCTAATTGCACCTGATACAGTAATTAAGGTAAGGATGCTGCTAGCAGTAGCGTACATATTCCCTGAAAAAATTAACATAAATAGTATAGGCTATGAAGCTTTTAAAATATAATTTAAATCATATAGTAAATTAAGTAGGGTAAAGCAACTTGCGTAATAGCTGTTATGACACTCTTAAACTTTTAAGGCATTTGCCAAGGCTCGTGCCTTAAATATCTACTTGTGTCGTAAAGACTCTTAACGTGATTGCTGCATACACCACGTTTTAATACAAACTGTTAGATAGGCTAGTAAGAGTGCAACCAGTTACCTACCTACAGTAGATAAAATACTTTTCAAAAATTATTATATGCTTTAGTAAATAAATTTGTTTTCTATTTGTTTAAGGCTTGTCATGGACGAGGGGAGAATGAGCGTGGATTCAGATGAAGGGGAAATGATAATCAATGAGATTGATGGCTTGCCCAATCTTCACCCTAACTACAATGATCTTCAATTAAATCAGCCTACATCCCAAATCGAGCCTAGGACCATTGATGAGCTTATACATGATGAGGATTTGCCAATGTCTGTAATTGTTACCAACTTGGATAACTCCCTTTTCAAAAAAGACGATCTCAAGGTAGGTGTGTTCTTATAATCTTTGTTTGGAAGGAAAAAATATCCTTACTGACATTTTTGAAAGCTCCGATTGCCACGTTGCTCAGGCCTTAGTTATTATTTGGTAGCGGTAACATATAACTTTCAATGTTAAAAGATTAAAACGATAAATCATTATTCTCTAGAAATGTTCTTTGGCAATTACTAAAATATCAGACATCCTCTTTACCCTTTAAATTTATGTACCGTAAATTATCTTGACAGAATTCAGTTTACAATGATTATTTTTGTGGCCATTCAATTTGTATGGTTATTTATTTCAAGGATCTATATCAAGTCCTTTGTAGTTGATTGCACTTAACTGATAATATCATTTTGTAACACAGAAAGAAATAGAAGCATTGTTCAAGCAGTTTGGTGAAGTAGCGACTTTCCAGTACTTCCGCAGCTTTAGAAGGATGAGAGTCAACTACAGCTGTCCTACGGCTGCGGCTAAAGCAAGAATCCAAATGCACCAAACCCAATTTCTCAACTCCATCATTAACTGTTATTTCGCTCAGGTAAATCGTGCTTTTGATTAGTTTTACCATAGACTAACCAACACAAGTAGACTTCTCATCCCATTGTAAATTTTGAAGCTTGTTTTTTGTGTCTAGTTCATGTCCGGTGACACTGATCGCTAGAGTCGACAAAATTTGGTTCCATTAGTTTAAGGTTAGTTTAATGATTTGTGCTTTACTGTTTGGTTGTATAACTAGGGGACGAGTTATTGTTTGTGATGAAATAGGTTTATTTAGCTAAACGAGGTTTTAAATTACTGTAACAAGAAACAAACTGTAAACAAAACACAACCTCTACAGTGCATCAGACAGAACTAACAATAAAATTGGCTTCATCTGTTCCATAAGGATGAGAAATCTACTAATAGAGTGTGTTTTATCCATGGCTTTACATTGTTTTAGCATTTGTGGCACTGTAAAATTGTTTGAGGCATTATTATATTCTAGGAAACACGGCCTTAAACTACAATCATTGTTTCTAGAGTTTTTACATTGTTTGCCTCATGAGCTCTCTGCTTGTAAAGAGAATATGCTTTTTACTTTAAATTCTAGAATTAATATTAAAGTTAGTTCTCCAAATGAAGTACCGATACTGTAAGTTAATAGTAAATTGAACTGAACCCTTGTTTGGTTTTTATTTAGATGTTCCATGTTTTTTTACGTTTTGTGAATCTCATGATTTTGACTTTTTGTAGCCCGTGACACCTATAGATGCAGCAGATCAGCATCTACAGCCACCTGCGCTCACTAAACAGTTTCTCATCTCGCCGCCTGCCTCTCCTCCTATTGGCTGGGAGCCGAGAGATGAGGGGGAACCACTCGTCAACTACGATCTGCTCGCAGCTATTGCCAACCTCACTCCAGGTAAATGAAAATAATTCTCATATTTTCTCTAATCTCATATTTAGTAACACCCCCACCACAGGTGGTAAACTTAAGTGAATTTGAAGAATATAAAAATATTCAAGTTCCAAAAATTGAAAAATTCTTTTTTTAAACACGTTGGGTGCAGGCTACATCTGTTGATGTAGTGCGTCACGAGCGCTCCTGTCGGCTTACATCCCACTACATTCTAAGCTCAATATAAGCTCAGCCATTGCTGGGTAACGTTATAACCGTTGCCATTCTGTAGTTAGAATACAAGCTGTATTTTGGTGTAGCTTGGTACTTAAATTTCTCGTAAAATTCTGTCTGGCATTGCTTTTGTCCCGGTTTTGGGGATTTTTCTCTCTTCGAGCCACATTGCAAAGACACTGGCTACGGGTCCAGGCAGTGCTGCTACCCTTGGGTGTTTCAGTGAACTTCCTCCACTCTCGGGGTAACGCAGCACAATCCCCACTGCTCTTTTGTGATTAGTCAGGCTGAAATATTTGAATGCCAATTGCATTCGCTGGTTTGGTGGTGCGCCGGGGCTTCGCCGCCATTGACAAACGCCCGTTTAATAGGATTTCAGCACTCAATGTGTTAAATGGATTTGAGGTAGGCGTATTAGACAAGTACCTCTTGGCGTCGTATACTTAATCTGATCTGTTATTGTTGCTGAGATGGAGGGAGATTAGCCTATCACATAAGTGGTGCGATTCTGGCATAAACTGCGACTTCGGGAATTATATGTTAGACAATTTAAGCAGAATATAATAATAATAAAATAATATTGAGTTAGAATTGATTTTCAGAGTGTGCAAAGATTTGTACGGTATGTTAATCAATATCAAATCACTCTGGTAGGTAATTTATCATATAATAAATAACAGAAACTAAACTAACCTTGAAGAAGTACAGGTAGTCCAAAGAACAAATAGAAGTCGCACAAAACTGAAACTCACAATATTTTGTTCCCTGGGGGACTTTGTCAAGTCTAGAGGAAGTGAAACAGAAACTCTCTGTACTTGACAAAGTCTCCCAGTGGATGAAATATTGTGTCTTCTATATGTTATATGGCCTATCTGTACTTCTTCAAGGTTAGTTTAGCTAAGCTAGACTCTTTATTCTACAATTAAAAATCATGGCATAGATCCTTTTGTTCCTTAAACAAATAAATCTAAAACAGTTATTTTGCTTCAGTAAGAAAACTAGAATAGTCTTTTTGGCTCAAGTTCATCCTTAAAATCAGCAACACCAGTTGCCTATTGTTATTTACTGGAGCATCACTTATCATCTTTCTAGGGGAGACCCACGAGCTTCACGCTGCGTCTGGCAGTCAGCCTGGCATTGTCGTACATGTCTGTGAGGAAGGCGTCACTGCGGGAGTTAAGGGAGCACGAATAGCCCACACACGCTGCCCTCAACCCGACAACTGAATCAGTTATTCTACTAGTTGAAGTAATATAATTTTGCATATCATGTAATTTGTGATTGTTCACATCGGTTCTTTGGTACAGTAGACCCTCTCTAAATCGTATCATCCGCTGGGATTGTCAGCCCCTGCTCGAGCTAACCCTAATTAAATGGTTGTTGCTTTTCTTGGAATCTAGAGATTTTCGCTTCCATCCTAATTGCAGTAATAACTTAGAGTCGTTCCCTGACAGGCTGTTTTTCTTTTAATTTTCAATACTACTCGAGTACAGTATATTATATTTTATAAAACTTTGCATTTAACCAAACATTTATTCTGCTGAGTTGTTCACAAGAATAGTATCAATAATTTATTGATTCATTTTATACAGTTGCATGTTTTAGCTAACCCAGGCGCGGTCTCGTAAGGGTTGGGTTAAGAGAGCGTGTACTGTACCTATAAATTACCATCGACAATGAGAAAAAACATATATAAAATTATTAGAGCTTGATTGTCAACCGATTCAGTTTCAGTTCGGCTTGTAGTCTAAGACGAAGATTAGTAGCAGTGTTAGCTGGGGTTCAGAATAAGAGATGTTAGACTATTTTTTAATGTTAGTTGTTAACGAGTCAGATTTATAAATGATACTTATGATAGGATGATGTAAATATGTGATGTATATATTTGTGTTTTGTTTCAAAAGATTTTCCTAACGGACTCTATTTATTTTAGTGTTAAGTGTGCGCTTGACTTATATAAATAATGTTAAAATACGAATTAGTTGCGTCTAGTTAGTTGCAAGCTAAGAGAGTCGACGCTTTTATATATTGCTTTTTAAAGAGTAGTGTATTTTGAATTTCACTGTCAAAAGTCAAGTTAACTTTGATGTCAGTTTACATACATCTTATAGGAGCAAGCAACAAATGCTTTATTAAAAGTGTAGATGATTTCACTCTAGCTTAATTCTTACAGTAATATATTTTTTTTAATTATTCAACGATCTTTTTCGAGTTTAAAGTTTGCAAAGATTTACTTATAACTGGTCCGTTGGATCTTTTTGTGATGGCTTTGTATTTTATTAAGTTTATTTTACAATTTAATTTTTAAAACAATTCCCTTCACCTTTAATATGTTTTTACCAATGAGTAAAATATTACAAATCATTGTTTTCAATTAGTTTCAGTACTATATGAATTATTACTCCATTGATTTCCAAAATACCATTGTACTCAAGACGCCACTCAATAGGCCACGAGTGAAATGAACAACATCAACCCTAAAAACAATCTAAACCTATATTATCACAATTTTGAAAGTCTTGTTTGGAAGCAAACAAATCTCAACTACAAAATCCAGTGACTCAACAATTTATTGTTTTGATTTTTCTTCAATGTCTACAGAACTCACTTAAGTATTAAATCTTCAAACTATTGTTGTCCATTTCATTTAAAACTGTTCAAACAGCTCACAATATTCAGTACTTTATTATTATTCGGAACATTTGTTTTTAGAGCATTAAGGTTAAGCTGCTGTGTCTATAGGTTGGTGGTCCGAATAATAACAAATTATTCAATATTCACTGGTTGCAGGGCCGTATTTAGATCCAATGAGGCCCCCGGCGGCTTTCACCAGAGAGGCCCCTCTATATTCTGATTCTTTTAAGGTTGGAACTAAGGGTTTATAAGTACACATGGAATTGCTTCAACTTGATGAATTGAATTGACCTATTGTTTCCAACAATCCGATCGGCAAAAAGACCTAGGAGACTAGCTAATAAGTAAGTCTATTAAATTTTTTTAATAATAATATTAGGGGTCTTAGGTTGGGGCCAGACATTTTAATTTCTTTCAGGTTGAGTAAAAATGTTGACCTTCAGACATCGGATCAATGGGGTAGTTTAAAAAAATAATTAATTAAAAATATAATAATTGATATAGGCCTTCTATAATTGGTCTTTACAAAATAAATTATAGTCACCGTTAACGGCGAAATTGTAAAGATCTCTTGCAGTCACGAAGGTTTCAACGTCTCCCGCGATCGCGGTGAAACAGATTATCGACGAAATAAATTTGTCAAGAAAAAGAAATTTAGGCCCCCTCCTAGGCCGAGACCCCCGGCACAGCTGTGTTCGCCATTAGGGAAATACGGCCCTGACTGGTTGTTTTTATTGGTGTTTCATTGTAAACGTCACCTTCTACCTTGTGTACTTTCTTTGTAAATGTAATGTAACTTGGATCTTGTGTCTCTATGTTTAAAGTTTAAAATGTATGTTTTAAACTAAGACTTGTGATGTATGTGAAGTTTAGCACCTGGGTGTTTAACTTAACTTTCTAGGGTGTTTCAGGCACAGCTGGTTATTCAAAATTTTCATATCTATCAATCTGTTTTTTGATTGTGCACCAGTTTATTTATTTTTGTTAGTACTTGTAATTTTAGTTTCAAATACACACACTCACAATTTAATACATGAATAGTATGTAGAGTCGACTATAAGATCTTATTTTGGTGCTTTTTCTCTTATTTCATTACATTGTATAGCTTCCACAATTTTGAGCTTGCTAGATTTCGAGTTAGATAGCAATTTAATAGGCATAGCTTGATCAAGTTGTCTGGGCATTGAAAACTTTGAATTAAATAGAATTATTGATAAAGAGATTTTAATTAAGTTATACAATACAAGTGACTCTCGCTCATCTGGATCGGCCTTGTCCGGATCGGCAAAAATTATTTTTTTGTGGCACATTACAGTAGAATCCGATTATCCGAGCTAAACTGTAAAAAAGCTGTAAAAATTATTACCGGTGGAACTGCATATGCAAGGCTATCAATACTGTGGACCTGGAACAAAATTGAAAAAAACGGCTATATACAGTACCGTATTTGCTTGAATCTCGATAGTCCGGATTTATCCTAATCCTGACCGTACGTCCGCCACATTAGTTGGGATGAGCGAGAGTCTACTGTACTTCTAATTAGTTATTTAAGATTGACAGCTTAAAGTTACCCTAATGTTTAGTGATGAAATGGCTTTAATGACAAAGAATTGTCTTCAATAGGTGTTATTTTTTGTACAGATTTTTGATTATAAGGGCTGTCTGTAAATTATGGTCTCCTTCGTAATTTCTGGTCATGTGATCTAGTTCAATATGAGACCGGTGCCATGTTCTTTACTTTATCCACATCAATTGGAGTTGGTTTCTGTTAACTGGCTAAGGATTTCAATGTTAGATGACTCCCTTCCCACAAAGACCTTATAGGAGATTCATACTTGACAGGACCATTCACTTACATTGCCATCAACTACTACGAAAAACTAATGGATATTGAATGTAGGGAATGAAGTAAAGAACATTGTGTCGATTTCAGATTTTACCTAGCGACAGGGGCCCAATGAAGACTTAATTAATGGACACCCTTTGTAATTTAAAGGATAGAGTAAAAACAGTAATATAATCAAAATGTAAGTTTCAGTCATTTGTCTTCCACAGAATACAATCCTTATCAAATGTTATGTCCTGTCAAGATTACTCTGAACTATAAACTAATAAATTATTAGGACTAATTTGTAACTACACAGAAAAACCCCATTAACCGAAGTGAAAAAGGCAAAGCCGTGTTTCGGGTGACCTATTTTTTCGATTTATCATAAGATAAAAATTAAAGGCTTTTTCAGCTCAAAATGATCTACAACAGTTGTTTATTTTGTTATTTGATCTGTCATCTTAAAATCTTCTATTACTACAAATTTGATCACAGTGGACATTTATCGTTGTCGTGCTGGCCTCTTTGTTTGATTTTTTATTATCGTTTGTTTGTTTTTTTATAAACCTAGGTTTCAATTTTACAATAGTTCTGTTAAAAGGGGTTTTATTGTATTACTACCTGGGTTAGACATTAGGTCTGAAAATTCTATTGATTTGAGAATATCTGCAGTAATCAATTCTATAAAAAATCCAGTATGAACAAATCTTTACCGATGAATTTATTTTTATTTTACCCATACCATCACGATCCCAAAAATTATGAAGTAATTCTTAGTTATCCTTTTTCTCAAAATTCTTTATTAGCCTATTAGTCTAGTGTGTTAGCATTGTGATTGGCTTAACATTTTATTTTCTTGGATCAAATCGTGCTGAATTCATTAAACTAACAGAAGCTACTTTCTCAGCTATTTTCCGTCATTAACTTTCCTGAACATTTAATTGTGATATTGCCAAAATGTCATGGCTTGTATGAGATGTTTCATGAAAATAACACCAAATAAATTGTAAATATTCATTGTTGGGCTAATTTAATTTATTTGTATGTAAAATGTCCGTAATCAGGAAAACAACTTCGCCGATCGTAGATTTAGAATGTCAAGAATTTGAAGGACAATATTTTTAGGATATAAACTACTGTGGGTAATGACTAGAGCACCGGGAAGAAACGATTGAAGGAATTTTCAAAAACAGTTTATCTCAGCTATTCGACTGTGCCAGCTAGGTGTTTTTTGTTAACTGAGCAAAAACATGGGTTGAACAATGAGTTATGCGTTTCAACCTTGAAAATTTTGATAGGACGATTTCAATTTTCAATTTCTAAAAACTTTCGATAATGGTAGTATTGATTCTTGATGCTTCGAAAGTTTGGATTCAATACAGATTCAAGAATCTTCCTGCAATCAAGGCCAGCCGAGATTAACTCTGGCCCAGACGTCATTCGGGTAATGTTAGATAGTAACAAGACCAGGATTAGAACTGTTCCCATAGGCAAAATGTAAAAAATACCTCGATGATGACAAAATTATCAAACATACCTTCAGAAAAATTAAAAAAATTCTTTCAAAAAGTTTCTAATTTTCAATGTCTACTATTAAATATTGAATGTGTAGGTAGATATTTATTATTCATGATTAAACCAAACATACCACAAAATCTTTCTTTGAATAATTTAGTAAATTTCCCTAGTTAATTGTAAACCAATTTGTTTTTATCCATGAAGTAGGCCTATCTTAACATGGTCTAAAGTTGGGATGGCGAGTGGAGACTGTTGACTTCACAACTCCACATTGCTGCAGTGCTGTTCCTGTCACTTGTATCTGTGCACTGATCTGTTTTGTCCCTAAGGTCTGCTAAGACGTGTTGCAAAGGCATTAGGATTCTGCCATAACCAGCTTAAATGCCCTAACTATTTGAGTGGTGGCCCTGTATTTTTCCTAGCAACCATTTTACATTCCTTGCACTCAAGTCCGTTGCCCACAGTAGTTAACTTTCCCCTTAAATTTGGTTTCCGGGATGCAATCTAAGATTAAAATGATACTAAGAATACTCAGATGCAAGTCAGGATTTGGTTGAAATATTTAAAAACATTTTAATCTCACCAAGATCTTATCTTTTTGGAACTTGTGTGTTTAGCATTTTTGTAGCAAGTGAAGTATGTATTTTTGTAAACATTACTTTTAACTTAATCAAATTTTCTTGTGTTTACCATAACCTGTTCCTATTATGATTTTATGAATTTGTTAATTCATCCATTAGTAGAGAATTTTGTAAAAATTCTCTTTAACTAATTTAGTTGATCGTAAACTTAAAATGTGTTATTTATATGTAAATAAATACCATCATTCGTTGTACCTTTGACCACTATTGCGAAGTAGACATTCCATGCCAGTTGTAAAGTTATTGCCAGTTTACGAGTAAATATAAATTATTTCAACTGAGCCCCAATTTGAGTATGATATTGTTAAATATTTTATTTATAATTAATTATTTCAATCACTTAAATTATCCCAAAATGATAAGCAGCTTGAAAAAAATAGTATCTTTTATACCGCCAACTATTATAGAATGAAAAACTTTTTAGAATATGACATCATTACACACTACTTGAGAAGCTCATTCACGTATGTATTTCTCTTTTGTGTAAGAAACTCGCGCTACAACTGGTTTGTATAATATGGAATCTCTATTTCAGTGTCCAAAAGTCAATGGTATTATGTAAATAATAAAAATAATAAATATGTAATAAAATTAATTTTTATTTTCATATGTCTATTTTATTAGAGATTGGCAGTTAAAAGAAAACATTTTTGCACAAAAATTATTTTAAGAATATTTGGTAAGGTAGCTTATTGAATTAGGTTTTACATTTTGAATTAGGTCTACTCTAAAGTTGTTAACTGTAATTATGTTATATGCACAGTTGATTTATTTTACATTTTCTTTTGAACTGTTGATAAAAATATATTAAAGTGTGTTTGATGGTGTGTTTTAATCAGATGACCTTTATTCGTAATATTTTTATCTGAAACAACTGTCTTTTTTGTAATGTCTGTAAAATGCAATCAATTTAAGATGGGGACGCCACTATGTGCGTATTTTAACCCAAATATGAGAGTAGGATGAGTGGCGCGAACTTGTAGTCTTGTTAGTGACCAAGGCTGACATGTTTCTTGGACACAGATGTTAGTGATATTAGTCCACGATCTGAAGGGGGTTGAGGATGCATAGGCCTGACACAATTTTATTTCTGATTGTTGTTATAGGATCATGAAAACGCATGTTGTCGCCCCCAGCGTGGTCACGACAATCACGCCGTGACAACGGAGTCATTTTGACGACTGCGCTGTGACCGCAGAATCATTCTGACGATCTTATCGTGACCATGGAGTTATTTCGACGATCGCCCCATGACTGAGGAGTCATTTCGACGATTGCGCTGTGACCGCACTGTAATGAGACAGTTTCACAGTTAAAGTGCACCAGATATGACATTACTTAGTTACAAGTTTTTTCTATACCTACAAATCTTTACCCATTATTGGTTTTTGTAGATCCACGCCACAAACGGTACAAATTCATTTTGTTTGTCTATTTTGGTGACTGCAATACTCAAGATTTTTAAAACAAACCCTTTTTTTGTACAAGAAAAATCCCGTTCTGTCTGGTTCCGAAAATCGGGAAGGAAATAAAAATCCCGTCCCGTCCTTAACTAAAAACTCAATCCCGTCCATCCCTACTTTTAATGCCTCAGTTCTGTGAAAAATGTCATATTATAGGCTACATGTTTAACTGCAAGAAATGTAAATAAAATACACCATTTGTAAAAATAATAATCTTTTTAATTTAACTTTTGTATACTTAAAACTATACAGGAGAAAATAACATTTTTAAAAACATTATATTACATCAGAGGGGAGTTGAGAAATACATACAAATAAAATAACCTAACAATTATTTGGTTTAAATAAATATTTACAATTTAAACAAGATGAGGAGTCAGTATGAATTTGTCAAGAGAAGAACGCTCACGCTCAATGATACTTGATGGGTAAGCAAATCTTCAGAAAATAATCTTTGGATTATCTTGATGATTCCGTCGACGACAAAAAAGACTTCGAAAGTACAAATGAAAAGATTACACAGTAATCATGCCATGTATATAAAAGTATTTATGTCGTCTTCGTCCCTCCGCATGTATTTGTGTTCTATGAGCCACTCGATTTGTTCTTTAATCATCTTTTTGCTAGGCAGGAACATATTCTTGAGAATGTCAACGAGTTCAGTTTGTAACTGCGCGTTGGTTATTCTTTTCCTCATCTTCAGAATCTTTATTATAGCTTCCTGTAAAGAAATAGGAATTAATATACTTAAATGGCAATAAATACACAAATTTAAACTTTATATTTTAACTCTTCAAGGGGGCTTCTCCAGATGGAAACTTCTAATCAAGTTTGTTGTAACTTTTCTACAACATTCTTCTAAATAAATCACATTGGAGGGGTGAACTATAGTGTTCTGAGCTTTTTGTGGGCACTTTATTTTTAACTTTGGAATGGGGCAGGAAATGATTTTGTCCCTTAATTTTTAAGACAAGATGAACAGCATAACAGTATAAAGTGTAACATATTATAAACACTTATAATAACATATAAGTGTTAAATATATTGTAAACAATATTGTAATTAGTACATTTTTAAGGTGGTTTTATCAAAACAAATTATATATAAGTGTTAGCTATAAATAATATGGACCGACCTAAAATTCCAAACTATACTTCCCTAGGGTTTTTCAAATTCTTTTTTGGTGAAATTATGAATTTAATCCTAAAAAGCACTACCACTTATGCCGAACATCAAGGGGTGGTTTGGCCCAATTAGGAAAAAATCAGGAGGGCGTTACAAAATCTTGCCGAGAAGGGTTAAGTAAGTTAGTTGAAAATTCGTTACATCTTTCTTGTTCAGTACATACTTACATAAATACATATGGATACATAAATATTTACCTGAACTCTCAATATTCTGAGCTGTACAATACTCTCGTTGTCTTCTTCTTTACTCCTTTCAGTCGACAGCTGCAGCCTTCCAATCAGATTCATCTTTCCTCTCTTTTGTAACTTTCCGTTTTTCCTGCAAAACGGTCATATTTATTTGAAAAAACCGTTCCTAAATCCAAACAAATGAAATAGGAATGGGTTAATAAATGTTCACAAAAACATTCTTGGCGCTTCTTTGAGGTTTTCAGATGCGGAACATGCAATGAAACCCTACTAAAACATATAAGGTACGGTATCTAATGTGTCTAAATTATCTAGGAAAACACACATACTCTTTTTAGTCCTTTCCGAGTGCTAGACATGTAAAATAGCTAATCCCCTTAACTTTAAAATTATTTACGCCACACTACACTATTTTGACGAAGTTCCCACGCAAGGATTTAGTCCAGAATACAGCTTTTTGCGGTCAGCTTAATCAAATGGGGTTTCATTATGTAATGAGTTATACCGAACACCATCCAGCTGATTATACTGTAATTGGCAATGAGTGAGAGTGTTGAGTTTATAAACAAAAACATAACCTCTCTTAGAGGTTATGACTAGTGATTGTTAGTCCTTTAGTCGGTGATAATATATAAGGATTTGTAAGGATTTAGTAGTATGGCGTAAAATATTCTACGTCACTCGTCCAAAATGTGTTTACCAGACTCTTATGGTAATCCCGTGGTTGCACGGTAGCAACCACACTCGTCCGGTAAACACCTATTTTCAGGACTAGTAACGTAATATACTATTAAAGAGAGGGAGAGGAGTATTTTATTGGTCATTATGTTACACTGTTTATCATTAATCTTGTACCATGTAAAATTATCAAAGACATTTGATTCGATTAAAAATTATTCTAAAGGCATGAACGCTTCATTAATAGACAACAAGAACGTTTTGTACTGTAGGCCTAGTTGACTGCACATCTCTGAAGGAGAAGTTAATTTTTACCATGACCCTGATAAATGCAAATTGCTAAGGAATAAATAAAGTTAAGATTGTTATGACTAGTATAGTCTTCAAACTTACACAAGGGCAAACTCTTGGTTTATCCAGAATTGTGTGTGTTCATCAAAATCCTTCGGAGACTGTACTTCAGGACCATAGAGAACCACTTGCCGCTTTAATTTTGGAAAAGCGACCAGAGACTGAAAAAATAAAAGGATGAGAATTAATATCCCAATATCATATATGCATTGGTTCATTCCTTAAACAAAAATGTTTATCATTCTACTTCCATAAAATAACAATGAATGATTCAATTAATAGTTTTATTTTTTTTTTTTTTTTTTAAGAGGTTGGCGGCCTCTTTTAACCTTGCATTTTGCCCGTCCACTTAGACTAAGCGCCCGTGCGTGGATCGTTTGCAGCAAAGCAAGGAGTGAGCCGGTACAGTACAAAGGTGAACTGTACTGATAAAATGTTATCGGCAGTGACCAGGATCCGAACCCACGACATCGCTACCTTGGGCCCGAAGTCCGCGGCGCTACCGACTGAGCCACCGACTCACTGTCGGTGTTAGTTATCAGAGTGGATTACTTAGATAAAATCCACTGGGGATTAGTGGGATTTGGACATAGGACGTTGGGGATTGAAGCTCCGTACTCTACCACTACACCACCTTGCTCCCAAGAGAAATGTCAACTTTTGGAACCCCGGTGTTTCTTTCTAACTCATCCTCATAAACCTTGAGAGGTAAATTCCGGGCGTTTTTTATGACAAAAAATCAAGACACTAGTAGCAGTTTTCAGGTTATTCAACATTCATACATACCCAGAGTGTCCTCCTGAGTTCAGGATCAGGCAGTTCCGTGGCCAACCTGAGATTCTCATATGATATGTGGTCGTTGGGCCGCTGGTTCCACGCAAACAGAACAGCCATTTGAAATGTGGTAACGTCCACATCAAACCTCCCAATAGCATTGTTGAATGTTATCTGTAATGAAAAAAAGTATTTACAGTCCAACAACATTTTCTAACAAATATTTGAATAGGTAAAGTAATATTAATATTTTTGAAGAGTTCTGTATTGATTATATGAGTGATTAAGAAGGAACAGATAACTGAACTCATCAAGAAAAATATATCTGGGCAGTTAATAACATTAAAAATTCATACTAACTTGGATAATATTAAAAGCCAAATGACCAAGTACAGCTGGGTTTAAAACCATCAAAAATATACTTACTTTTCCCAGGATTGAAATGGTAACGATTTTGTTTATTAGACGAGCTCTTTGTGTATAATTTTTTGTAGAATTCTTCTCTTTTGAACACTACTTACTAAAGTCATTAGCTAATTGTTTTGGACTAGCCCAAAGACACAACAATTCAGAGTGTTTTTTAAACCTAAGATTGAGTCTTTTAAATCCGAAACGAATCAAAATATGAAAACTAGTATTATTCTCAAGCAGCAAACATTTGTGTCACCACTCAAGCTAGACTTACAGTTCCGTTGGACATGTGGTGGTACCACTGCAGTTTGCGTCCGCTGTGTTTTTTCTTGTAAAAGTCCTCCACTTCAGGAATGTAGTCCTCCAGTTCTAGAGGTAAAGAGACCGTTACTCGTTCACTACCTCTCGCCCATGCTCCAGCATTGAGTATTTTGATATTTATGGAATCTGCACAATAAATAAAACAACTTGCATACAATTCTTAACAGGTGAGGTTATTATCTTAACATGCTGAATTGAATAGAATCTTAAAAAATAAATCCTAAAAAATAAAATTTATGTAGCAACATATTCTATAATACGATCATCCAAATCCTGAAAAATTTAATTTATGTAGCAACATAGGCTATAATACGACTATCCAAATCATGTAGTAGAAACTATGTTGAGATCAACTCTTACAATGATGTGATCCCTGTTACAATGCTGGTTTCCTGCTGTGGGAAAACATTTTTTTGCCACACTACATTTTAAACAGTTTCTTTATGTACTCTTTTGAGACCAAAAGGTTATTTACAGAAAGGGACCAGTTATAATTGAATAGATACAACTTCCGTATCGGCGTGGTGGGGCGATCTGACGTTCGAGTAAGAGGGAGAACTGCCAGGTTGACTACCTGACCCATAAGAGCAAGGAGAGCCTGACGCGGTTTCCATAGCAACAGGCGCTGTTGCCATATCGCACTGCATCTCCACGCCCGCACGCACATGTGCAGTTCCTCCAGTGTTATGACAGTGACTACTTCGAGTACAGTACTGTCCGCGAGAGTTTAGAAGTCCCCTAAGCTAAAAAAACCTTTTGATGTTGTCATCACATGTGTATTTCACAGTATATTTTGGGTTTACAACAGAAATGTTGTTTCTCACCAGAAGTCAGTAAATATCAAAGAGTGTTCCAAACAAAGGGAATAATTTATTTTGAAACAAATTTTTCTGTACTTCTACGCTGTTCTGTTTACAACACTTCCCTATTAGCAGATGGTCTCTAACTATCAACAGATAACACAAAATTACAGCACAGCACACAGTGTAACGTTGCGTGCGTTGTTGTAAGTTGGCGCTGTCGTGCATATTCTGTGAGGAAGTGGCAGTTCCCGCTCACTGCGACTAACAACGCGGCAACACCGCAACAGCAGTCTCCCCACTGCTCGCTACCCCTCCACACCTCTCCGATTCGGAAGTTGTATCTATTACAGTATAAGTGCATAATCAGTGAGTGCATATTGAATCATCCACCGCACTGACGAACACCATAATGAACGCTAACTATTATGCTTGTACCACTTACCTACATCCTTGTAGATTTCATATAGTATTATTATTTGTATCAAAATAAAAATAAAACTCTAAATTTAATACACTAAAAAAATCACTTTACTGCATGAGTTCTAGAAAATGGACAGTTTAACTTAATATGCTTTTTTGATAGCAGGCAAGGTGTTATGTGTGAATAAAGCCCACCGTAGCACAAGAAACTCTAAAACTTTACACTTTCCCTAGAAAAATATTCTAATTTTTGTATAGCCTAGTAAAGTGTTTGTTTCTTGTGCCAGAATGGACTCTTCTTGCTCAAGTCAACCTGCTATTTCAAAATACAGGTATACCAACTTTTGAACAGTCTCAAAGTACATACCAGCAATACTGCCTTTTGTACTCCTATATGTTTCTTTGAACTGTTGGTTGAGATCTTCGCTGACTTTTACGTCCTGGAACATTCTGGCTAGTTTGTTGACATAGTCGGCTGGCATGCCCACTTCTCTTAACCTGCAATTGAACATGTAAAATATGTTAGTTTTGTGTTTTCCAAACACCACTGGCATTTTAAAAATTTATTTGAAATTATTGTGAAATCATTCAAAAATAATTGGCATCTAGGAGAAGCTGATAAAATGTATAACTATTTTGTTATGTTCAATACTCACCACTCCACCATGTTTTCTTCCTTTTCTGAATCGGCTGAAGTGTCCAAAATCAGCCTTCTTGTAAGATGGGCTTTGTGAAACCTCATAAAAACGTCTTTGTTTTGTACATATTTTAACACCAATAACTGCAATCAGAAAGATCACAGACTTTTGATAGTTAACAAGTTAAATAAACATTCATAAGGATTAGTAAAACACAGCACTACTGAACAGAGTGAAATCAAAGGGAACCACCCAAATTATTATTAGCTTTCACCCATGATAATTTAGCTAAAATTTGTCCACAATGTTCATAAATAGGATCAACCATCAGTTAAATATTCCACTAGTAATAGTATTAATACTTAATGTCAGTATTTACTTATGGCTTCCATTGAATGTGTTCTCAACATTTTAGTTATACACAACTATTATAGTTTTCTGTTGATGCTTTGAAACTATAAAGCAGTTTTGGTTGATTTTTAGATTGTTTTTACAATGTTTTATAATTGTAGTTTTCTTTGCCATTGGCATTTCACACTTTTTTTAAGGTAATAATCAGTGTTGGGAAGTAGCGCGCTACAAGTAGCGACGCTACAGTAGCGCGCTACTTTTTTTGTAGCGTTAACTGTAGCTACGCTACTTTTAAGATTTTGTAGCTTTAGCTGTAGCTAGCTACATTTTTAAAGTAGTTGTAGCGGAATTTTAGCTACTTTTCTCGCTACATTAACATTGTTTGAGATAGTGATTTTTATCATAACCTCAACCTTACGTGAAACAAACTCTTTCAAACTGAGATTTTCAAAAAAATTAGGCCTACTTTCTTGGCTTCATACAGCTGGTTGCAGCTGTTTCATTCCCTATTAAAACGTTGTGTGGACATGGAGGCCATTAAATGAGTGTTATCCACATTTTTTGCTCTCATTTCCTTAATTTAATGCTCTATGATTACTGTCAGATAAAATAAAATCGCTAGATGCAGACGACGTTTAAACGTTACCGGTGACAAGAGAAGCTATTTAATGATTGCAAGTGATTGACAGGGAAATTAGTAATCAACTTAGTTTCTTTATTATATTGATGGTGTTTCAACTTGGGTTTTAATTGAAACCAACAATACTTAAAATAATGAGAAAGCTGGTCCATCAACCTTTGTTTCAGCTGTTGATTGTGGTTTATCATAACAAGCCCTTCCTTGGTTAGATTACGAAGATGTTTTAAAGGTTTACTAAATTAACAAAGAGGAAATTTACCTGATGAGATTTAATATATACCTAGGCTAGGCCTACATGATAATTGTAACGAAAAAATCTCCATATACATGAAACTTAGAGCCTTATTATGCGCGGCCACTCGAGTGGCGCGCGACCGCGACTGCTCAAAGGCCACTTTTAGCGGGCCATGTTATCATATGGAGCTTATTAAGCGACGCGACTGCGGTGGCGAGGCGCGCGACAGTCGCCGCGACTGGCCACTCCAGTCGCGCACCCTCACTACTAGTCGCGAGCCCACGCGACTGTCGCGTCACCAGCGGGCCATGTTATCATATGCTGTTTATTACGCGCAGCCACAGTCGCGGGCCACAGCGGACCCTACTCTATACTCTCGCCTCAGCCCTTATTTTTGTTTCGGCATTTTATTATATTAATTATATTATCTATACATTAATAAGTATTGGTTTTGTTTTCCGAGTCGGTTCGGCTCTTCTACCTGACCGATTTTCATAATATTCGTCTTAAATTAAAGGTATTCACGAACAGATTTGCCACCAAGCATCATCATTCAAGTATCGTATTGCTTGACCAAAAAAAAAATAATCCGACTTTTTTCAATTAAAGCCTATTTTGCCAGTTCTGATTATCCTTTATGTTTTGCTCTAAGAACATTCAGTAAAATGCCAGCTTTAATTTTGAGCTATTAACTATTAAGATCGGACGTACGTGAAGCACGCTACTGAATCACGAATCAACAATAATAATTATTATTTTAACACTTATCTGCAATCAAAAATAACTCCATTATTTGTAGTTATTTTACATGTCTTAGTTTTAAAACAGGACTACCCCTCAAAACGAAGGCTTTTATTTGAGAAATTGACCTTTTGAATCAGTTAAGTTCATGATACTGTCTGTATTTCTCAATTATTAACATTATTTTGAATACTATGTTGACCCGGGCAACGCCAAGTTTTGCTGCTAATATTGTATTAATATTATGATTAAATCAAGTCAAAACCATTATAATATTTAATTTAAGGTAAGTGCTTGTCTCTCCTTAGCTGAAATAAAATTATTCATTTTATTATGCGATACGGATAAGTCGCCTTATATTCTTCCTAAAAGGTTATAAAAAGAACGTCTCGTCTCCCAGAAACAACCAAAATCTTGTCGTCATCTCTGAAATCATCATATAAACACTGAAAAATACCCCTGATGTCTTACTTTTAGTAACGGATTGCCTCCCAATACTTTTGTTTCGTCTACGTTTACGACCCTTAAAAAAAAGTAAAAGTAAAAGTAAAATAAATAGTTCAGCTTCTTTACTTATTCACTCTGAGAAACTACATAAATGTCTGTAAAAAAAGTCAGTCGCGCGGCCTCGCCACACCTGTCGCTACCCCAAGCCACACCTGTGGCTACCCCAAGCGACTGTCAGTCGCGGTCGCGCACGACTCGAGTGGCCGCGCATAATAAGGCTCTTACATTGAAAAAATAGTGTAGTTTGCTCCTGCTTACAGCTCTTGTATAGGACTATTCCTAGGCTAGCTATGGTTTAAGACGAATACCAAGTTCCAAGTTCAATTATTAGGAATAATATAATATCTGTTTAGTTTAGTCTTAGCAAGAACAAGCCTACTATAGCCAACTTGTTACATGGCCAAGTAGGCCTACATGTTATTTTTACTTTACAAATTTCAACATGTTTAAATTAAAAGCCGATTTCAGTATAGGTTGCTGAATACTGTTTTCTGTACCAACTAGGTTGAAGCACAATTTGCCCTAAGCATAATGACAATAAAGGACGATTTATTGGCATTGAAAAGTGTTACTCATAGAACAAGTAACTCATCACTATGGTTAAAAGTTGTAGCAATGTCGTTTTTAACAATAAAAGTAAAAGCAATAAACTCCAATTTCAGTAGGCAAGGCTCTGTAACACAAAAAAGTATGTTTAAATAATCGTTTTACAGTTTTATTGGTCTTAATTGTTGATATAAGACATCTATAAATGAATCTATAATAAAGAAATAAAATGAGCTTTTAAAATATAGTTTGGTTGTATGTCCTTTGAACTTAATGAAATTTACATTTAAGATGCTTAAAAATACAGTAATGCAATATTTAAAAATAAGTAGGCCTACTAAATATGATGGGGCACCCAACTATTTGGTTCTTTTGTTATAATGTTAGGTTTATAATGCCAACAAATTAAATACAATCTAGGAATAATTTGTTTTCCGAGTAATGTTAGATACAATACTGACATTTTTTTGTTCAATAAAAATGTAGTTGCAATTAATTTTACATTTACCTAACGTGCGTGGAATAAAAAGTAACGTCTTTGGAAAAGTAGCTAAAATTGTAGCTGTAGCTACTTTTCATTGTAGCTGTAGTTGTAGCTAGCTACTTTTTCGGAACTGTAGCTGTAGCTGTAGCTAAGCTACTTTTTTGGAAATGTAGCAGTAGTTGTAGCTAGCTACATTTTAAAAGTAGCTTCCCCAACACTGGTAATAATCCAAACTATTGTTTCGGTATCGGTACTAACAACAACCTTTAAAACCAATAAACCAATGATGCATGGGTGTAAAATCAATCCTCAGAATTAAACTGGCAGACAAGCATAAACCACTCGACTACCTAGATGATGTAGAGAAAACCTTAACACGTTCGCTGCCTCAATAGTTTTTTTTTTTTTTTTTTTTTTTTTTTTTCCTAGGACGCTAGGCACGAGCCTGGGATTGTTTTTCACATTACTTCAGGCTAGACCTAGGGGTTGCGGCATTATCACTTAGATAAAATCCATTGGTGACTTGGCGGGGATCGAACCCGGGACCTCACGGACCGAAGTCCCGCGCTCTAGCCACTACGCCAGCTCGCTCCCCGCTGCCTCAATAGTACTACATATTATATTCATATGGACCGGCAACGCACATGCAACGGCTTGTCACATTAAAATAGACTGACGTCGCATATTTGCATCAGTGTTCCAATGTTATTAAACAGCTATCTTTGTAACGGTCCATTTGAAGGCCCTGAATTCTCTGCAGTGGTCTACAGGGATGTCTGTACCACATGTCACTTGGTCTATGATACGATGATAAGTGACGTAATATGTTAGTTGGCAGAACTGTTTTTTGGCTTTGCTGCATCACTGGCCTGTAGTTTACGTATACGGTTTACCTAGTGGAACCCCCCCCCCCTCCCGGTTCTGTATTAATGACTGCAGCGTCGCACATATGTGGCGATCGGTAGCGAACATGTTTAATTGAATAACCTGGCTATGAAGCCTTTAGTTTAAATGTAACAAGTCATACATACCACATCCCTTAGTTTACTTTCTATTTCGTCCGACGTCAATCTCTTACTAAGTGGTGTTTTCCTAAGTAACATATCACAGTAGTTAGCCAACAGCTCAGGGCATTTAGACTCTGGTTGACTCTTCATTCCTGCACTCTGGAAAAGTTGACACAGAAATTATCAAAAAATAGAACACTTGCACACAAATAAAAATGTATATAGCCTCAATTGCACGAGAAATTCTGAACATCTTGGAAAAATGTGTTTTAATTTGAACTATACCTTAGAGGGTCTAGGTAATTGTGGAGGACAGAGTTGTTGGGGAAAATTTTTTGACAATGCTAAAACTTTACTAGTTTGAATAAAATATAGGGTTAAGTTACCTGTTTGCGTAGTTGTTTAGGACCTGTATTAGAAACAGATGGTATTTTTGGCCTCTACATTAAAAAAGGTAAGCGGTCCCAGGAATAGATCTGACTATGAGACCTACGGTAATAGCTTATTCCCTTATGACAAATTGGCTAAAAGAACAAAAAAATAAAAAACAACAAACCTGTTTTGAAGGTAACTCTAGTCGGAACACAGTTGTGTCATTGACTACGGTTTTGTAAGCTTTATCTCTAGCAGTCAGGAACCTTGGGTCATCATTGAAAGCTTCCTTGACAAGCAAACTGAACTCGTTGAAAAGCTCCAGTAGCCGCTCTACGTATTTTTCAGAATCCTGGAAATCAAGGTAAATAATTATCAGACCATAATTCTTACTGTTTATGTCACAGGGAGTCCTAGCTATAGTCGACTGATGTTTTATTGAAGTGCCTTATCAAGCAAGTAATTAAAGCATATAATGGCAAAATGTCGTGACATACGTGGTGGTCAAACTGTAGTGAAGGATTAACAACCAGCAAAAGAAAAATATTTTCTTGAGAACTAGTACACAATATATAACTTTGGGGTTTTTGCACAATAAGACATTTATATTTTTATCGCATGATAGATCCAAGCAGGGTGTTTACCTGTGTGATTATATCAGCTGATGCGACCATGTCTGCCAATCCAGCGCTGACAATGTGTTCCTCCAGATCCTTTAACATCGGAGCAATCCCATCTGGCACTCGGTCCATCAGCTTGAACATCAGCTGCAGTTCTGGCAACATAATTGTTTCCTTCATTCCACTTGGTACATTAGCCATAAATATTCTAACTATAGCCTGTGTCAAATTTAGGCAAGGTACCTGGTCGTAACGGTAAAACAGGACATTGGCAGTGCTAGATCTGCAATTAAATCGTATTAGGCCTCTTATATACACAGCGGAGGCAAAAAAAATGGCGGCTAGCTACTAAACAAAATTTTGTTCAACCCATGTTTATATGAACTTTTTTGTTTAGTTGATTAGTTGATTAGTACTATCAGCCCCTGAATTTTATGACACCCCTTTATGAACACCCTGTAGAACCGCTCAACGGCACCCACTACTGCATATAACAAGGGCCTTGGTCACTTGTCACAGATCATCAACATTGGAAATGGACTGGTTAAAAATGTTCTGAAAATTCTTCAATAAAAGAACGTAAGAGTGGAATTAATGGACTATTTTACTGTCAGTAGCCTACTCACTTTCAGTCTCATTACTCTTGATCATGCCGGCACATTCAGCGAGTATGGTGTACTTGAAGGTGGAGACTAGGACGTTTACACAACACTCTGTTAGCTGCAACACAGTGAAACTATGCTGCTCAGTGTGTACCACATTTGCTTAAAACTAAAGCTCAGGAATCAGTGAGAAGACATTATTTATTTACAATAGATTGGTGTAAATATCTGCAGTCATGTGATTTAGGACTTCATGCAGAAAGGCTAATAGTTTCATATTTAAGTTGTTTTGTCTCCGAATCACTGAACAAGGTATCAATAAGCCATAAAAGGTATACCATTACCTAATTGCAGCCAGATCAGAGTGATACTGTAAATGATCCCTATGGATTACGCATTTGGAGCACTTAAGTCCTCATCTTGCACAAGAACATTAATAAAACTGTCGCTTCGTAAAGGACGTCAAAAGTTTAAATAAGAAACACGGCGGATATACAAACGGAGACATTTACACGATACAAAAACTAGTATGCCTACAAAGTGTTACAATAGCCGACTGTTTGTGCACAGTTACAGGTGAAGATCATGACTGTGATGCGGAAGATGGTTGGGTGGTGGACTTTGTACAAATGGTTTCAACAATATCGGAGTCATCATCAGACCAGTAGGCTTCTAGGTCTCTTGTAAATTCTTTAGAGGGTCGCCAACATTAGTAATAAATGAATATGTAATTGCACACAAACACCACAAACGTCAATAAGAAGATTTATACTAACTAGGGGTAGTTGGGGCACAACGATAAGAAGTTATGTCTAGACTTCTTTTAGTTCTAGACATTATATCCTGAAGATGACTCTGATGTGACTTGAAACTAGTTGCCCTACACTTGGATTGCATGAACGTAGGTATTTACACCAATTAAAAGAACAGTATTTAAGTGTGATCAGGTGGCCAAAATGTATTTTTAAAAAATGTTTTTGTCTCTTATTACAATGCAGAGGATAAAAAAAGTTACTTAACTTTTATCGATTTAGGTCCGGATAGGTCCTATAGTAAGACAAAACATTAGTGACGAAAGAATCTATAGAACCCTGGACTGTAAGGACTCTAAATTTTCAGTTAAGGTAGATGAATAATTTTACCTATACTGAAAAAAGTAAATATTAGGCTATGCTTAAAATAAGATATCAGTGAATAGTCCTAAGATAATATCTAGTCCTTGTTACATGATGTATGGTTGTTATATGGTGATATCACACTTTTTGATCATAGTTGACAACACTAAGGATTACATTATTTTGAACTTCAACTGATTTTTCTTAATCATCAAATCTCAAAACTCCAGGGAATTTTCTCAATGTAGAACTAAAGATCAGAATCGTGCACCATTGGGTAAGATTTTCTTAGCTTAGGCCTACTGCTACATGGATGGAAAAAAATAAATAGATTTACCACTTGCACAGATCCACTGCAAGGCTCCAGATATTTCTGCGCTCGTATTTCTTCCTCCCTCAGTTTTGCATCAGCATACTTCATATAATTCTGGACACCGTTGGCTTGAAGATACTGCGGCGCTTTCATTTTATAAAACGACTCTGTCGCTTCGATGTATGCTTTTTCAAAGTTCTCCCGGTAGATTTGTAGTTTGTCATCAGTGTTAGAGCATAGGTTTACTGGAAAGGAAAAACAGATTAGTTGTTCATTCAATAATTACAAGGACTTGAAATAGGCCTTAGTAAACACTGCAAAAGTTTGTATTTTAGCGACATAAAATAATGTGTGGGTATTGGATTTTAAATTCAGGAAATCTGAATAGAAATTGAATACTCCCCAGGAAATGTATATTTTTGGGGTAATAGTTCTGTAAAGTGGAAATAAAACAAGAACCGCATTGAACATATTTTTTTTCATGAGAGATTGGCAGCCTCTTTTAACTTTGCCTTTGCACATTCACTAAGCTACGGACCTGTGCGTAGAACATCTCCATCAAAGCAAGTGGGCAAGTGGTGAGCCAATACAATAAATGGTGAATCGTAGGCCTACTGATTAAGTAGTGGTAGGTACCAGGATCTCTGCCTTGGGCCTGAAGTCTTTGGCGCTACCAACTGAGCCATCGACTCAACTTATGTTATTATTTAGGCCCTAGGTAAAATATAACTATTTACAAGCAAACAAAAAGTTCCATAGTATTCTAAAATGAAACAACCAATGTAAATTATTGATAGTGCTGTTCAGTATGTAGGCCTACTACAATGTTTTGTGTTTACTTGCCACTGGTTTTCCAGATATTTTGAAACGGCTATAACTCGTACCGATGTTATTGTTGTATGTACTTAATTGCTTAGTAAAGGACTGTAGCTTACAATTTTTTCAACAACAACTGTCTTAAAACAAATTCATTCACTTTTTACTATATTTTGATGGTTCGGACAACACTTCGGTTTTACGATGTCAGGCAGTTTGTTCTAGTAGATTAGATTAAGTATTATTTTGTTAGGTAGTATAAAAAGGGGTAAGAAGTTTTATCTTAACTCCATATTGAAAATGGTTGATAATAGATGGAAACCTACGAAACTTACCGTATGATTCTCGAACTCCAATGACTAACTGCGAGTCAAATGCTTCTCCGTTTCTCTCCGCATGCACCAGCTTCATCGCAGAGTCCTGGAGCCGCTTTTTGATGTCATAAAATATGCTTTGATTCCAGCTGTCTAACATTAACTGCAACAAAATAAGGAATGAGTGTAGGCTACATGGATACCATGTGATTGGATTATTTCTAAATTGTCAACATCAATAAGTTTTACTGAAACTTTATTTAATAACACAAAAACGTGAATCACCATAAAATTGATTACCGGTATTGAATCTCCGAGGCAAACTTTAATGTCAAATGATAGTTAAAAAATAATGTTGTGACTTTAATACCTTGAGATAGGGTTATCTCAGAATGGGTATTCTGTCACCTCGTCTGTGCTCTGAAGATACACACCACACAGTTTGTCAAATCCACATACCTGCATTTACATTTTCCTCATCTCTTGGTCACAATAACGCAGACCCGGAGACCTGTTGCTGTGTGGACCAGTATCTCTTCAACAAATATTTTACAGTAGTAAAGTTACTCTGTCGGTTTGTGTTATTTTTATACGTGCTGATGGCTTAGAAGTGTAGAAATTAGCGGTTCCAATAGAAGACCAATTTAAATTCTAAAGATAGGCTATAGAAACTTTACAAATTTATTTATTTTAACACGTTGGCAATGGGATCAAGCTGCAAACGGATTAGGACAGAGAGTCACGTTTTATTGATGTTTAGTTGGTTACTCACCTTCCTGACAATGCTCTCAGGGGGCTTGATTGAAGGCATGGTCTTGCCTTGCAGTGATGTTTCTAGTTGACGGAACGGAGTTGGCAAATAGTTGCATTGCGTGAAGAACTTTCGCCACTCTGCAATGTAAGCCTTCAGTAAAGCTTGGTCTTCTTGGTGGGCCATCACTCTCTGAAACAATATTGGTACAAATAACATACTGCAGAATAAACAAACCCTAATCACCATAACTTTGACACATTTTTGACTTGGCATTGAGACGGTAGCCCACATTGGACAAGTGGTAGTGAAAATTAACCACTAAAGTACATTATTATCATACACAAACGTATTGAATATAAATTGCAGTAATTAACTATATATAAATTTAGTACCTGCTTTTAAGAAGCAACTAGGCCTATTCATAATGGTGCTTTGTTAGGTCCATTTTCGGATAATTTTATGTTGGGCTAGCCTACTTAAAAGATTTTTGCAGGCCATTTCCCTATTCCATAATTAGTAAAACCACTAGTTTTAAAGACACTTAAAGTATTTCCACTATCTTGTGCCATGCACAAGGTGCTGTGTTTAGGAAATTTGGGGGCGGAAGAGAAAAATTCCCCCTCATGGAAGGGGGGAGGAGGCCACAAATATCCCTCGGCCCTATAAGGTGTCTCACGCAAATCACGGGCCTGCAGCCATATATAGTACCATAACCAAACACACACTTTGACATCTTAACATCAGGAAATGTTGTACTAAGGGTGAATGCAAAGGTGTCGCCTACCCTTTATTTATACTGAAGTTCTTTTATTTTCAGCAGTTTTTTGTTTATTCTTCTGACAACTAAGCTACACAGTCTCCAAAATGTGGTTTTTCATTTGGGTTTTTCTAGCTTTTGCTGGATTTGTGTACTATTCTTTTCGAGTTTTAGGTACTTTTTTTACAGCAAACAGGACCAGATTCCAAATCCCAAAACTTTTTAGAACACTTTTTTACTAGTGATGGAAATGAGAACTAACAAAGAATCCACGATCAACTTCCACCCATAAAGACCACACCGTGGACCCCATTCAACAAGCTTTGGTAGAGACCATTTCATGAGTTGTAACTTGTAACCAAACCTGACAGATGGGATTAGAACTCTCAATATACAGGGCTGTAACCATGCTATGGAGAAATCTTTACTGTTTGCTATTCACTGGTCGACAAAAACCCCAAGCGTAGTAGGCCTACAATAGTGCTCTACACTTCGCTCCAGATTTCAGACGTATCAGGTTTAGCCTTCAGCTGTTTTCTGATGTTTGGATGTGGGCCTATTGTGTTTCAGTACAGTACAATAGATGACCACAGGCTTGCGGTTTGCAGTAGACATGCAATGGGCCTGAGAGATTGGACCTCCCTCCCCCTCCTATCAAATGGAATTTATCTGTTCCTTGCACCCCAAAACCTCCTAAAACCTCTTGCGCCTTATTTACTAAAGCGACCCTGGATGACCAATATTATCTACTAAGGCCTTAACACTCAAAGGGTTAAAAAACCGAATGCCTGTACTAGGCAGGTTATTCCATGTTGAGGTTGTGGACTTAAGGACTGAATGACAAAACTCACCGCTTGGGCTCGCTGAATAAAATCCATAATATCGTCTCGAAGGGCATCCTTCACCTTAGGAGGACCTTTTTCATCCCACAGGCAAACCAAATGCACTGAGTAGAAGAGGTCTTGCCATTCGTTCTGGGTTACTGGCTCTTGCTGCAGAAGTTTGAGAATTATAGGCCTCATAGACGGCCATTTGTCTTCAAACATCAACTGCCCTTTATCCTAGGGAAACATACACAACAGTTTTAAATGTTTCTTGCATAAAATAAATATGTTAAATTTTCCTTTACTCACTTAACTAAAACTTGTCATAGCAGAATGAGGGTATAGGCCTAAACATAGAATATTACGTTGTAGATATAAAGTTTCCTTCGAGGCATTTAATATAGGATTAGGCCAATCTCATAAATTCTAAAAGAAGTATTTTACGACACAGAAAACAAACCTTCATGACCTTTGTTGAATTGGAAGTCAATGTAGAAAAGTCTTAAATAAAAAATCATACAACTCTGTCCAAATTATAAGGAAACAAAATAACGGCAACTTGGATATATGACAGTCATCATCTTAGTCTTCTCCAATCGTGGCGAAATCATGAACGACTCCTGTGGCCACGGAGAAATAGTTAACAACTTGCGCGAGCACGGAGACCTCCTCTTCGCCTCCTTCAATCATGACAAAATCGTGAATCGTGAAGAACGTCCGAGTTTGCGGGGACATGATCGATCTTCAGCTACCTCGGTTATTATAAAATCCTGGACAAGGTCATCTTCTGCGATCGCACATGAATAGTGACAACTCCTACGTTAACGGCGAAATAGTGTAGATCTTTTGCGGTTGCGCGGATTTCATCATCGTCTCCTGCAATTGAAGCGAAACGGGTTATCGGTGAAATAAATTTGTCAAGGAAAAATTTGAAGCCCCAAGTACCCACTAGGCCGAGGCCCCTGGCCGTGTCCGCCATTAGGGAAATACGGCCCTGAAAGTTTACCAACAGATTGCAGCACTCTTATTTTTTCCCCTGTTGCAAAGCGAAAGCATGGGTACAGCAACTAGACCGAATAACACCCTTAGTTTGACTTCAGTAGTCTCATATGTCTGATTAGCTTCCGTGATTAGGCTATATTTTAAAATGTATTTAATCCTTAATAACTGAACTGTTACTATGTATGGAGTAATAATGTAAAAGGTCATGTTAGCCCGTAGTGAAATCACAACTTCAGCCTATTTATAACAAAACTCAAAGTATGCCGGACGAAGCTGATGGGCAACAGCTAGTACAATTATAAAAATCAAATACTACAAAACTAACAAAACAAAAAAAAACTGTTTTGGATGTTTTTATTATTTAACCGAGTTCTAACATAGTGGCGACAGTGACAGGATATTTAGGCCTATAGTTAAAATTCAATTTAGGATTAAGCCTATATTTTACAATGGATAAGCTGAATTCATTAAAGCCAAAAAGGACTCAACTAGGAAGGACTTTTACAAAGTGTAATAATGAAATATGTATAAACTAGCTGTAACCCGCGGGCTTTGCCCCGTTTAACTTCTTAATTTTCAAGATTATCTCGTTCGCATGGCTCAATCACGTCCTGGTTGAAGTTTGTTCGCTACGCTCACTCACCTTTAGGTTGGAGCTCGTTCGCTGCGCTCACTTGCCTTCAGGTTAGCTCGTTCGCTATGCTAACTCACCTCCAGGTTGAAGTTCGTTCGCTACGCTCACTCACCTTTTGGTTGCAAATTAGCTGTTGTCATAAATGTAAAAGAAATAATAGTGCTGCACCCTGTTGGTAATTTTTGTAACTTTAATGCTATTGAACATCACAGAACAGAACCAACTTGTTTAATTGAAACAGCTGTTAAGATTCAATAATTTCATTTCTCATAAGGTTAACATGGGAAACTCCAGAGCCACTGGGGCGGAGCCCGAAAGGATTTTTGAAATAAGAATATGCCTATATGTTAATCGGGAATGTGAGCTATCATCATGCCAAATTTCAGCCCAATCCGACCAGTATTTTTCGCGTTCACTTGTCACAAACATACATCCATACATCCATACATCCATACATCCAAACTTTCTCATTTATAATATTAGTAGGATGACTAGCAGAAAATATTGAAGATGAAGTAACAGCAAATATTTACTGTATCTAGCCTACACTGGGATATGATGTAATTTGAACTACTGACAGTTTTTTTTTCATGCTGAATCCATAAATGCAATAGGCCTAAATTTTTGTGGGAGAGATTCCTAAGTGGCCGTAGAAGGAAGGTTAAGATTACAAATCTAAGGATAATTGAGCGGTACTGAAGGTAAAATATGGCGTGGTCTGGACGGGTCCCTATGTGAACTGAGGAGAGATGTGACACCGTAACCAAATTCACCCAAATTCATAACCAAATTAGTCAGGGGGGTATGGTAATTTGAGTGAGGACTGAGTGAGGAGGAGAGCAAACAGCTGTTTAATACTTGACTTAATTCAAAATGCAATTAACACGTTTTGAAACCAAATAATCAGTTCTTATTTAGGCATGTGAGGAAGGTGGGTCGGGTTTTATGTGGATCCGTGACTGTTATAAGTGTTTTGAAGTGAGGTAAGATTTGGAAGGTAAATGCTAGGTTGTAATGATCCGACTCATTAATTTATGAGCACTACTTCCGGACTGTTTTTGCACAATTTGGGGATTACATTTCAGTAATTGTTGTTTTACCATTGTAAATGATGTACTGTAATGAAATAAAAAGGATTCATTCATTCATTCATTCAATTAAATATTGTGTTTCACCCAATATTTCAATTGTGCAAAAGCAATCTGGAAGTAGCATAAATTAATGAGTCGGTTCATTATAACCTAACCTTTAACTTACCTAGTCTAACCTCACTTTAAAGGACTTAATACAGTGACGAATCCACATAAAGTTCGACCTATATTCCTCACATGCCTTTTCTTACATAAAATATGATTTCAAAATTAATATTAAGGTTGGGTTGGGTTAGATTAGGTTAGATTAGGCCTAGATTAGATTAGCTGAACTTAATGTAATATAAAAGGGTTTCAATAATAACTTGTTTACTGCAGTATGTCTTAGAGCTGAAGAAAATATTATTATCAAGCATGGAATCTCTCATTGTTGGGGTTTCCTTATTACAAATGCAATATCATTTATTAGTTGCTGATACATGAAATTATGCACTGTGGCACGTTTTCACTTTTAGGCACAATGGAATTATGTACTATGGGATTATGCACTATGGTACGTTCATCAAGACGTTGAGGATTGGAATGAGGACGATCATGTTGGCGGTGGCCTGGCTTCTATTACTGGTATTTTACGATAATGAATTCAATTTTTTTTATTTATGTTCATATGTGATTAATAGTTTATGTATCGTAGTTGATTTATTGTATTTTCTAAACGGCACCAAAGTCCATTTGCGTTTAAAAATCTAATTATTGAATAGTGTAATTCAGATTTTGCTCTCATGTCGTCGTGAGTGGTTTTTTCTGTTTTATTGAATGTAAACAACTGGCAGCTGTTTCCACTCCACAAACCTTCCTCCCCTTTCAGTTTTAGTCGCCACTAGAACTTGGACTCGTCCAAACAACAAATATGTGAATAACTAAAAAAAAATGAAGCTTGATATTAATTATTTAACTGTATGCACACTTAGGAATCTCCCCTACAAAAACGTATTGCCTTTTTGGATTCAGATTGAAAAATGGTGTAAATAGAAATCTAAAAATTACATCATATCCCAGTGACGATACAGTAAATAATTACCAAAGTAACAATTAAAAGTAGGCTAATCTAAATAAGTTGCAAGATAAAGCTGATAGACTTTACAAGCTAGGTGAAGACATCAAGGAAGCCTGTTTGAAGATCCTGCAACAACGGAAGAGGGCTTAGAAGCTGAGTTTCAATCTACAGAATCTCACAGAGACATTTTATCTTCAATTCGAGCTAAGTATGACCATTTCATTATTCAGGTTGGCCTAGGCCAACAGTCAAGAAGTGAAGTCGGATATACTAGTACTCATGTTCACAGCCTTAAACTCGTACCTATCTCTTCGACAACTGACGTCCACTTGCGGCAGCAGTTTATTTCGGGGCTTCATGATGAAAAGTTGTTGTCAAGATTAATGGAAATTCATGAAAATAAAAACTTTAACCAGTGTATTGAAATAGCTAGTAACTTTGAACAGATCAAAAGTGAAACTGCAAAAATCCAAGAATCAAATTTGTATTCAAAAGTGGAAGAACAATTTCAGATTCAAGGAAGGAGGAACACTGGATATTCGCAAGGAAGAAGGTGGACTACAGCTTGTTTCAGGTGTGGAGGAAACCATCACGTTAGTATCTGTGAAATTCCTAAAGACATAAATTGTTGGAATTGCGACAGAAAGGGACATCTCAGCAAAGTTTGTTGGAGAAAGAAGCAAAACATGCTACAAACTGACGACGCTTCACCAGATAATGAATATGACGATGAGGGTGAGTGTCAAAATGTACCATTCATGTCTATGTTATCCATTGTAGATAGGCAGAAAAAAAGTAGTAAACTATCTAAACTGTGTGATAGTATTTATCAACCAGAAGCTGTCAAGAGGCCGAAGAAAATTATGTTAGAATGCACTATTGATGACAAGCGTAACTATTTTGAGTTGGATACTGGTGCTGCGGTCAGTACAATACCTTTACATCTGTTTCGAAAATTATTTCCAGAAAAGATTCTAAATAGAACAAGAATACGGTTAGGGACATATACAGGAGAAATGATTCGCCCCGTAGGTTTTGCAACAGTCAAAATTTGTTATAAAGATCAGATGTCTGTGGGCAACCTATACGTTATTCGGGGAAATGTAGACAGTGTATTTGGAAGGGAATGGTTGAAACTATTCAACATTGAGCTTCAGAAAGAGAATGACCACAGAACTAAGAAGGATGGAAACATAGTGGAATACAATTTTAAGTCATTGACAGGAGGCCGGTACCACGATAGGAAGGGATTTAATCACCCGGCACTCGACCAGATATCCAAAGAGCCTGAGACTCGATTGGCCACCAAGAGACAGGCGAGAGATGAAGCTAGAGAAATCAGGACGAAGGAACTAGAAAGTCACCAGCTTTACAGCAAATATAACTTTAAAAACCACGATGTATACTCCACTCCAAATAGAGCTAGCTCCGCCACCAATAGTAGATCTCAGCT